TCACTTAGGCATTTCGTCAAACAGCTAGAGTGCGTAAGTGAAACAAGGGGTTTCAGACCTCTCTCGGGGCCCCGACCAACTCCGGCAGCCACGACTTGCTTCCAACGGCAAGTTTGGATCGGGGGAAGGATCGGTATGGGCCAAGATCCGCGCGAAACGGCCGACGCGAGTCCCAGCCAACTTGTGAAGTAAAACGGGGGAAAACAGGGCACAATAGGGGCCGAGAAAGCCGCACTTGTCAGGGCTGCTTCCGGGGGGTCGCCGGCGGTGTACGCTCGTCGGGAAGGTTGGCTAGCTTCGTTCTTAGATCCTGCAAACTCTCAGTTCACTCTTTTACTCTCTGTCTCTCTCAAATTCTCTAAAAAATCTCTCTCTCTCTATGCTCTGTTTTTGGCCGACCGTTCTCTCTCCTCTTCGTCGGCTTATATAGTGGCCGCTGGCCACTTGCTTGTGCTCCGAAAGTCCTCTCCATTAAGTGCTCTTCAATGATCTCTGCTCCATTGACTTTGGTGACCAATTTTTGTGCTATGGAGCGACTTCTCCGCGTCGTCCCAAGCGGCGGTCAATCGTAGCGAAGAGGGGAGGAAGGAGGAGAGAGGGAGAGAGGCCAGGCCATGGGGGGAAGAGGAAGCGGGCTGGGCCGGGCCCAGCTCGTGAGTGAGGAAGGGAAAGAAAAAAGGGAGTGGGCCGGGCCCAGGGGAAGAAAAGAGAAGGCCGGGTCGACCCGGCCCGATCAGAAATTTTTTTAAAATTTATTTTTAAAACTCTAATTAGTGTAATTACTATTAACAAGCCTAATGCCTATATGAGATGCAATTAAATAAATTTTTTTTGGTTTACAAATTAAGGACATTAACCTTTAAATATGATTAATTTTGGGCAAATTAATAGAAATAGGTGTCAACAGAAAGTTACCATGTCAATATGATCTTGGGTGGTTTTTTGCCTAAAGGGAACTTATGTTTGGATCAAACCGCAAGACGTCGAAACCATTGCCTTAACTTGTGAAGGTTGGTTTGCCATCTAGATATGTTGATGATTGACGGACAAACTTCCATCCTTATTATTCCAGGTGATGATAAATCCACTCTACCATTCTTTACCAAATAAAGAATATACGCAATAAATTCAGAGCGGTTCGTCCATCATCTAGTCGTGCTCAATGGCATTGTTGAAATATCGAGATGTAACCGGTCTAAATATATATTTTGAAAACGTGGTAGAGTACGTTTCCTCGTGATTTGCATTAAATAATAAATATATCCTCGGGCCTCAATGGTGTTTGTACATATGTATGCACAATAATTTTGAAAGTAATAACTAAAGTTTATATTCCATTAATTAAGTGTGTGCGACCTTAAGGAATTAATTTTGGTGTTACCAATAATTAACTTCTACCGCATGAAGGGCTCATATTATGAAACTAGACCACACGTCGCCTATTGCAACGATCGAGTTACGAGCTCTTAATGGAAAATCTTGGGAGACAAGGAGAATCAAACCCTCGATTAACGGAATTAGAGGCATTTATTTCAAAAAACGTTTTCGTCTTTTTAATCATGTTTCACTTGTCTTATTCACCTGCATGTAGTTTTTCAAAGATATCTAAAGTATTCGAATAAATTGGGCCTGTTGGTCTCTTGTCCCCAAAGGACAGAAGCAAGTGCCATATTAAACAAAGATTCAATAATTAGCCCTCCCTAATAATTTCCAAAAAGATAGATAATGTTTTTCGTGAGACACAGATCCATTTGTTAGCCGAATTAGATTTTACCTTAGCTAAATTCGCATAAATCTTGTGTCGGTCGGTCGATGAGACATATGAGTTTTTTTATTAGTTATAAAATAATTATAATCTTGTACAGACATGTTTTAAAGGACGGATTCAACGTACAGAATATATGTGATGATTGGGTAAGTAAAAGGTGTTAATAAGTATGCAGTGTCTCCATAAGATTGTTGAGGGGAATTACTACATAACATGTGGTGTGCTTCCTTGTATAGCGTTTACTCGAGAGTATAGACTTTTCGCTTGGGCAATTTAATTTTAATTTTAATGATAAAGGAGATTTCGCGATAAAATTAATGGAAACAAACAAGTGGCTCTCTTTGCGACCATGTTTACGAGAAAAATTCATGACACGATTCGATGCACATGCTTTGGGGTCGCTTACACCTTGTTCATGCAACAATGAGTCGTCTTTTTAGTGCCCTAATATACTTTTCATCATTATGGATGGATTGCTGTCCTATTGATTGGTAACTCAAATTCTCAATTTTAATGTGATTATTATCATCTTAATCAGTAATGTTATAATTTCTTAATATTATAATTTTAACTTGATGACGATTAGGTGCTTGAATATATAATTATAACTTACTAATTAGGCCTTTTCATCTAAGTTTTAAAGTGTGCGTTGTTGGTATTCAAGAGTGACTAAAAAGAGAATAAGGGCCCGTTTGGTAACGTGCCATATAGTAAAAATTTCTGTTCTTTTGTTCCCAGAAATAATTTGGGAACAGAAATGCGTTTGGTAAACTTTTTGTTTCTTGGCACATTTTTGCAAAAATTTGTGCCGAGAAATGCTTTTGAAGAGAAACAAGAAGTAAAAAAGTTGCTTCTTGTTTCTACACAATTTTGAGAATCAGTTTTTTTTTTTTTTTTTCTTTTTTTCTTTTCTTATTTTTGTTCTTCCTTGGCCGAGCCGTAGCGGTCGCGGCGACCGGCCACACTCAGGCGGCGAGGGCGAGGTCGACCTCCGCCGCCCGGGCGAGGCGGCCTCGCCCGATCGAGCGAGGCCGAGCCTCGCCGTCCGTCGCGACGGCGAGGTCGGCCTCGCCTGCAGACGGCGAGGGTCCGGCCTCGCCCTCGCCGGCGAGGGCGACCCTCCTCCGCCGGCGGCCGGCGGCGAGGTCCGTGACGCCCCTCGCGCTGACCAGCCATGGCCAAAGAAGAAAGTAGAAAAAATTAAACAATTCAAAATATTATTAAAATATTATTTGGGAACAAAAATTTTATGTAGTTACCAAACGCATTTCTATTCTTTTCTACTCTAGGAATAGAAATTTTGGACAGTTTATCAAACGACTTCAAATACCCAGAAATTGTTTCCAGGCACAGAATCAAAAAAAATCATTTCTGTTCAGAAATAGCGCCCGGGCACAGAATGGTATTCATGCGCACCCTAAATGTCTGCCGCCAGTGTTAACCCGTACCACCCAACAATACTTCCGTATTCAAATGTGTTGTCCAATTCAATTGCGCCTTGTATCGTCCAAAGTCATGACTTGTTCAAACTTTCTTGTTTGCCCGAGCCATCACTCCCCTCGCATGTAAGACTTTTTCAAGGGATGAAAAGAAAGTTGTATTTAGGCTCCGCTTGTTTCGCGAAAAACATTTTCCAAAAAGTCATTTTTTACAAAAAAATGGCAATAATTTTCGGTGTTTGACTAAAAACTAAAAATTAACTGGAAAATTTTTTTTGTCGTTTGATTTGAAAAATCTGATTAGATTTTTCCATATAGATAAACACTATTTGGACGCTAGTAACTTACGCATGGATAGTTAAGGAAACGGGCACAGGCACGGGCACGGGCACGGGCACGGGCACTAGAGTTTTGGTTCCGGCCTCAATGGACCCCCACCCGAGTGCCGAGATTAGGGCACGGACACTTCGGTCTTGAACGTGGCCTCAATGGAGCAAAGGCAGAGGGGTCTCAGTCCTGGCCTTGATGGACCCAGGCACGACCTTTGTGGACCAAGGCACGACCTTTATGGACTCGAGCCTTGGTGTTAGGGATCCGAGCTTGAGTACTGGGATCTTGCGCAGCTTGGCCTTTGTGGACCCGAGCTTGGTGCTGGAGACTTGGGCACAGGCACCGAGGTCCCGAGCTTAGCCTCGGTTTTGGTAAACCCAAGTGCGAGCGCCGAGGATTCGGGCATGGGCACCAGGATCATGAACCTTGATGGACGCAAGCCTGAGTATTGGAGACCTGGTCCTAGATGCCGAGGACCCGGAAACAAGTAAACACTAGGGACTTGGAAACCAATATTGGAGTTTATGTGCCCAAGCGTAGAGTTTCAGTTTCGAGCGTTGTTACCCAGTCATATTTTGAAAAATGATTTCGGATTTTTTAAGAGGAAATTATTTTCCTGAATTTAAGTTTTGTAAGAAAACCTTTTCTATTAACTCATTTTCTAAGTGATCCAAACACTGAAAAATGAAAAAAATATTTTTCCTGAAACAAATGGAGCTAGTTGGGCCCAGTCCATTTTCCTAAGCACATCCCCAACGCTTGTTCCCTAGCCCTTGGCACCGGGGCCGGGTCCATCGAGGTTGGGCCAGGTCCATTGAGGCATGGCCCGGGACCCTAGCGCCTTAACTCAGGTCCATTTAGGCCACACCCAAGATCTCGGTCGCTGCTCCTTGGTCCATTGAGGCAGGGCTCGAGTCCTCGGCACTCGTGCCTGGGTCCATCAAGGTCGAGCCCCAAATGCTGGTGCCCATGCCCGGGTCCCCGACTTCCCAGCCCAAGTCCACCGAGGTTGGGCTCGGGACTCCCATCCCCATGCTCGGTCCCCTATGCCCGCTCCTTGATCCACCGATGTCGGGCCCAAGACTCCGGCACCAAGGCACTACGGCCCTCGACCTCGATGCCCGTGCTGAATTTCTTGACTACTCATTCGCAGGTCACTAGCGTCCGAATAAGTTATCTCTAAATAAGAAAATATTTTCTAATATATTTCCAGGTTTCAACGGAAAATATTTTCATTATTTCGAAAAATAATTTTTCAAAAAATAATTTTTAGAAATGTCATATTATTCGTAAAACAAATCAACCTTAAAAGCAACGGATTTTCTAATATCCTTTGTATTAAAAGGCTACTTCCCATCGAATGAGAAGTCGATTACGATCACATAAAACGTTTGTTTTTTGGGAGTAATCCGTCACGACACTTCTCGCCTCGGCCACCAAACTAGTCTTCCAAACTAGGCCATATGCTGATGCTGATCAAAGAGCATGTCCAGGTGCTCCAATCCGTGCTCCGGCGAAGAAAAGGCGATTCGAGCATCGAGGCGGTGGTCTCCAATTATGCCGACTTCAGGAAGAGAATGAGGAAGGATGCCAAAAGGTTGATGCAAGTTATGGTAATGAGCTCGCTTGGAGCTTCGACGCTTCTTGTTGATGACCACCAACTCTCATCATTAGTGAGAGTGCTAAGTGAAGTCGATGCTGTGAGCACTTCGATCTTCCGGTCTATGCTGTCATTCTTGGCAATGCCAGTGCCGAGGAGCAAGCAAAGCAAGTGGTCACTGATATCACGGTTGGTGCACAAAGGAGCGGTAGCATGCGAAGACACGAAGCAAGAAGATGCGAATGAATTTGAATGTGTGGACGCTTTGCTCTTCGCTCTATGCAAACACGGTGCGAATGATGGGGTTGACAGCGAGAAGTTGCAGAGCACACAACACCAGTTAGGGGCTTTGGAGATGAGCATTGGTGGCATTGAGAATGCCTTGGAGGGTCTTTACAGGAGACTGATTAGAACAAGGGCCTCTCCTTTGAACATAATCTCCCAATAAAAGAGCAATTCTCTCTGTTCATAAACCCCAATTTTGAGATGTATAGATAGTTTGTGCATGTATTGCAAAGAAACACCCACTTTACAGTGAATACAAACATATATACAGTTTATTACACAAGTCATTCATGCAGCTGCTACTTTCGCAGTCGATATATACGACTAATATAGCAGATGCATGCCAAGTGCATTGCTGATGCGCTTCCCAGCGATATGTAAATAGATGCTGAAAAGAGAACAGGTTGATAATTTCAGGAACCAATGCATTCAGGACTAAGTTTTAGGTGAACTACGAAAGATTGCAAATTGCTCCTTGACAACTCTTCCTCAATTGCATGGGGACTGAAATGACGAGATGAGGTTCAGCTTTGTTTCATGAACAATGTTCTTGAAATTTTTTCCCCCTAATCCATGATAAGAGAGAATATCGTGTGAATCAAATGCCAAAAAGCTCTCAATCCTTACATATGATCATCAACCTTTCTAAGTCATTAGAGAATTGGAAGAATGCCATCTTACTTTCCTGTACGAGCACTAACAGAGCATACTCAGTTGATTCACATCGTTATATTGAATCCTGTAATTCAAAATAAAGCAACGCAGAGGTTATCGTAGATTTTCAACATTTTCATATCAATGATACTAATATATGGGGATCAAGAGCAATTAGTCTCTTTATGCGGACCCGACAGTTAATTGCAATGAGCCATATTGCTACAACTAAAAAGAGCAAGTGAAAGTGTGAAAGCTTCTTATATTGCTGATCTCATGTCTGTTGATTGCGGGGAGGCGCCTGTTTACATGAGTTTACCCTTACTATTTATTTTGCACATATTCGGAACAATAAGCCAAAGATCAGCCCTGCTCGGCCCGCCGTCAAGGTTAGAAGAACTGAGGTCTCCATGTTCAGTTATGAAGTCTGTTACTGATACATCCATCGTTTTTTTTGTTTTAATTCACAAAACAAATGTCTAATTTAGATATCAAACGAAGCTAGCACTTCCCATTTAAATTTAGAAGGATGCTGGTGAACAGGGAAGCAAGTGGAATAATTCCCACATGGACCTATGAATCTTAGGCCATTTCTCCTCTGCTGATAGAATTTTCTTGTCCCAACTGTAAGCTCCTCACGATTACTAGCCACAAAGTCTCACTTGTCAATCTACTGTCTCCTTGTCTACCAAGGACACCAACAGTGCTGTCACCATAACCCCATCACTCATCATAGCGGATTTTGGATATACGAGAGATGGTCAAATTGGCTTGAAAAAAAAAGAATTCCCTCCATAGAAGACTAGATTCATGTCCTGGAATTTTCTTTCCACGTTGGGGCTTTACTACTAGGTAAACCAAACATGTTCAGATTCTTTGATCTGGTGTCACTTAGGTTTCTTCCGAAGACAGAAGACCAACAAGAATGTGAGAATTGATTAGGTTTGTGCTGTGTTGGGGTGGTGTTCCTGGTGGCAGGGTATGGTTCCGGTGACAACTTGGTGGGAGATGGCGAATCGAAGCACATGCTCTGCGAAAACTCTGCTTTCATCTCCAGGACAAAAACTTCAAATTAGAAAAACATGTATCGAAAGCTAAAGCAGCGGCTTAGTTTAGCTCAATGAACAATACTTGCCATAAACCAAAGACGGCAACTTCGTGCGTTTTGACACTTACCAACTCCATTAGAATCTGCAGGCACGGAAATAAGATGTGGTTTTTAGGAATGGAACAGTGCCTAAAATCAGCTGGCGGATTCCCTGAATTCTTGGTTTCAATAATTCATAAATTGTCAGCATGTTAAGGCATCGAGTCGAGCAGTCCACGACTTGTCTGTAAATCCTCCAATTATCGAAAGAAATGCAGGCGACAGAATTGCTCTACGAGAGGAACGACCCACTCGTGCACATGATAGACAATGTTGTCTAATACAAATGTAGACTGGACTCTACCATGATCTGTTTAAACCTAAATCACCCTTCATATAAAAGAATCTCATACCGTACAAGTCTTTCTTGGCAGATCTAAAACTTTGGTTTCTTCCGAGCAATTCTTTAATGGGTCTTCGCCATTATTGATGCCTCGAGGTTCTGCAAAACTTGAGACAAGCCATGGCCGAGCCCATCTGCCACCTTCCTTTATTATATTTCAATGATGGGTAACGTGGCGAGCTTTGGAGTCAAGAATGGAGCTGACTCTTCACTTATTTCTGCAACAAACACGCCAGGGACAGATTGGGCAGACACACCTCATATCGATTTCTTTAATGTTCATGGCTAAAATAAACCTTTAAATTGTGGTTCTTATTGGAATATGAAAAACGATAGCCGATGCAGGGCTACACGTGGTTGCACCCTTGCCATGGGCAATCTTGTCTCTCTTACATGTTCTCGCATGTATATATATTGGGTTCTTGAATTGGTTGTGACATCTCAAACTTGAGCTTTCTGAGGCACGAACTAAAACAAGAAGAAAAATGGCTACCATTTCAGCTAAGAACAATGCCCAATACTCTGTTAGATCCATTAGCTTGCCTTCCAGACCCCACCCCACCACTGCCAAAGTGGATGGCGAGCGCAACAAGCTCAAGTCGTGGGAAACTAGCTCGACTTCGTCTTCCGGGTCAATCTGGGCTGGGATCTCAGGCTTGGAGGAGTTGTATGTTTCCGTGGATGAGCTTCTCAACATGGCCTCAACCTGGCCAGTCCTCTCATGCAATCAGGGCGAGAGGTTCACCGATGAACTGTTGGATGGATCTGTACAGCTCATTGATATTTGTGGCTCTGCCAGGGAGATTTTGTTGTATGTTAACGAAAATGTTCAAGCACTCCGATCCGCGATCCGGCGGAGAAAGGGCGACTCAAGCATCAAAGCTGAGATCGTTGGTTACAACAACTCGAGAAAGAAAACGAAGAAGGATGTGAAAGGACTGGTTTCTTTATTGAAGAAAATGGAAGCAAACTTCGGAGCCTCATCGCTTTCGGTTCTGAATCCCACTGATCAGCATAGGTCGGCTGTTCTAAGGGTCCTAAGGGAAGTTAATTCATCGACCATTATGATGTTTCAATCTCTCATGTCGTTTCTAGCCCCACCAGTGTCCAAGCCAAAGCAGATTCGGTGGCCACTGATCACGAAACTGATGCACAAGGGCACAATCTCCTGCGACCGAAACCAAGAAGAAGGGAATGAGTTTGAATGCGTCGATGTCGCCTTGAGCGATCTCAGTAAATGCCTCTCCCGTGGAGGAGCTGATACTGAGAGAATGCAGATCACAAACAAGCTGCTGGAGAATCTGGAGGTCTGCATTGGAAGCCTTGAGGATGACATGGAGTGTTTGTATAGGCACTTGATTAAGACTAGGGCCTCTCTTTTGAACATCATCTCTTAGGAAGAGATTGTTTCTTTTGCTAGCCAATTTTGGCCCTTAAGGCATCCTGTTTTTTCTGAGGATGCTAAGGGCAATCGAGTGTTGATGTACAGAAGCTGTATCACATTCATGTACAAAAACTTGAAAAGAGATGCGAAAAAGTTGCAGACAATCTCTCTTTTTCTGTTTCCGTTTAATCTAATTTGATTTCTTCTAATTATCAATGCAATTCTGCCCATGTGCAACAAGAATAAACCTGAAATCCAATTACAATTTTCAGACAGATGCTGAGGTACTTCTAAGTTCCTCATATCATCAGGAATCATTTTAATTCTACCTGAAAATCCTGGAACCACCGAAACAGCATTTTTTTCTCCTCACCTTGGAGTTGCGCTGTACATGAAATGTCTTATCTACGTTGGTTTCTTAAGCCAGCTCACAACATTATTGGACTAGACAAAAAGATCAAGCAAATGGTTAGAACCCTGCAAAGCGCGCCTTTATAATTTTTTCACCTATTGTTCCGTTTGGTCTTGTAGCTCTCATGCTGTAAAGTTCGAGCAGATAATTATTTGAAGACATTGATACACTCTTCACATCACGACGATGTCTAAGTAGTACTGGCTGGTGGTTACTTTGTTTCCGTGAATGGTATGGGCTCCTATGTTCTTGTTCAGGATACACCTTCTATTTCTTCCTGTTTATTCTTTTTGTTCCCGAATTTTGAGGAGCTTCACAGTCGGAATGGTGAAATTTGCGTCCTTATCAACAGCTTATCTATCCTTGATCGGTCAGGTTAGGAAGTCCAACAAAAGTCTTGCAAATGATTTCTCGTGTCCAAGTAAAGTCAATGCATTGAATTCCATTTTGTCGTCGAGAATAGAGCCGGAAAGAGGAGTCTTCAAGCAGAGAACCCTGCAGATTACAATTTTATGCGAAACTTAGTTTTGAAGTTGAATTGCACACGTTGACAAGGAAAACAATTTGGTCCGTACTGAGATTCCCTTGGTGAATGTGATGCATTGTTTCTGTACAACATTTCACTCCAGGCCCTTTGCTTGCTCCCAAAGCCACAGTGTCTTTCACAATGAATTGTTTATCATGGACAGCAAGTACGAGGCTTTTCTTTATGATGCCTGATCTTTATCTAATCACAATATGAAGGAGTCCCAAATAGAAGGGAATAGAAGAGAGAAGAATTCAAAATTGAAGAATGCAGAGTAAGGCAAAGAGAGAGACAATCAAGTTAGAGTGGGATCAGAAGAAGACAATCTGAAACTAGCGTTAAAAATCTCAAGTATGAGGTAACAGTATGCAACCGCAAATGCTTGATTACTACATCAGTAATGCTCTACACATATCTAAACGAAGCCATCGGGCCCGCTTTTGGGCTTTGCCTAGAGATCTCATAAGCAGAACCCCAGTCCCGTGAAGATTAGTTGGTCCCTATAGTTGACATACTTTCTTTTCTACGGTGGCTGAGATATAATTTTGAATGAGTTTCTGCAATTTGGTTCATCAGTTACTGCTCGATATGCAAGACTTGTTCTACGATTAATCAATAAATGGTTCAGTCTAAATGCATGATGAAAGACAATACCACAATGATGACTTTAATCTTATCCTATTGAATACGTGCACATATTCTCTACTCCCGGACCCAGAAATAATTAATCAATGAACTGAACAAGGGAGAGAAAGCAATAACATAGCTTGAGGAGAAATCAACGGGAGCAGAAGCAATTGGGGAACAAGCCACTCGTGCACGCATTAATCTATTGAGCAACCTGTGGGAATCATGTCTTAAGTATCGTCTAGGAATGTTAACCAACCCTTAATTTATCAGACACTCTATCTCTTCACCTCCTAATCAGATCCAGATCTTGATTTATTTGAAGGTTTTGCTGTACCCAATGTTGTTGCAGTTCAAGACAGTCCTGCAAAGCCCCAATAGTTTAAGTTTGCCATGCTTCAGTATTATAACTTCAATGGCAGGGTAATGTGGCAGCACAGGAGGCCAGGAATGGAGATTCTCTTTACTTATTTCTGCAACAAACACATGCACGAACGAACGACAAATTCGCAGTGACAACTCATTTCTGTATTAACAGCTGAATTATTAAGAACCATGTTGGTGATAAATGTGACAGCTCTGACGAATTCATAGGAGAGGCCATTTCGGATCACATGGTGACACATTGGAATGAACACGTCCCGTCTCAAATTGCCTCTATATATATATATATATATATATATATATATATATATATAGTGATGGAATTGGATCCACCATCCGAAAACTCAAAGCTTCAAACACAAAAGAGGAGTAGTTTTTTGAGATGGCTAGTCCTTTATATATGTTCAAACGCAAGTACCATGTTCGATCGATTAGCTTGCCTTCCAGATCCCACCCAACCACCCTTAAAATTGAAGAGGAGCTCAACAAGCTCAAGTCGTGGGAGGCGACATCGACTCTGTCATTCAAGTCGATCGGCGAGCGGCTCTCGGGTCTGGAGGAGGTATATGGGTGCTTGGATGAGCTTCTCAACATGTCATCCACCCGACAAGTCCTCTCTCAGAACAAGCAAGAGAAGTGCATCAACAAACTGTTGGATTCCTCAGTTCAGCTATTAGATGTCTGTGGCATTGCCAGGGACCTGGTTTTGCAAGTCAAGGAACATGTTCAAACACTCCAATCTGCACTCCGAAGAAGGAAGGGAGATTTAAGCATTGAAACGTGTCTCTCAGACTATACGAACTTCAGGAAGAAGGCAAAGAAGGATGCCAAAAGATTGAGCGGGGCTCTGAAGAAATTGGAAAGCCAGTTCGCTCCTCTCGTCAATCAAGATGACCATTTCTTGGCCGTGATGAGAGTTCTGAGAGAAGCCAGCGAGTTCAGCATTTCCATATTCCAGTCCGTCCTCAGTCCATTGTCAGGACCCATCTCAAGTCCTAAAAAGTCGAGATGGTCGCTGATCTCAAGATTGATCCACAAGGGGGTGATAACATGCGAAGAGAGGCAAGAAAGTGATAATGAGTTACAATATGTGGATGATGCCTTAAGCGTTCTGTTAAAGAACCTTTCGGGGGATGAACCTGGGGCTGAAAATGTACAGATTGTGCAGAAGCAATTGAAGGATCTGGAGAAGAGCCTCGGAAGCCTCGATGAAGGACTTGAAAGCATTTTCAGGCAACTGATTAGATCAAGGGCCTCACTTTTGAACATAATCTCCCAATAGCGGGAGAGCTCGGGCGGGCCTTGGTTTTTTGTCCTTGAATCCTGAAAAGAATCCAAAATTTTAGTGGATCTGTATAGGGATTTTCAGTTTTTGTTTTGGATATGTATCAAAATCCATACATGTACATTAATGAAACATAAGAAATTACAAAAACCTTGGTGTCTTACTGCACATCCCTTCTTGTTTTCCTTGTTGCTGAATGCTCAAGAGAGTTTGCCCTGTGCGAACGCGCATACCACACGCATACACTTCACTCTTAGAATTTCTGTTCTAGTTCAATGGTCTCTTACTAGAAAGAAGGATGACGATGGCAGAAGGGGAAACTGCTTTTGCATTTGTGCTTTTGATACTTCATTGATGTTCGAATCAGCAAAAGTTAAGGTTGATATATTTTAGCATGGATAAGAAAAATGACGGATGTGAAAAGAATCTAACTACAGATGGCGAAAAAATTTTAGCCATATTCTTGCTATATATGCCTTGGCATCTTTAGAAGGCTGCCCATTTTCAAGGTCTTAACTTACTATGACTATACACATATGCAGTCATTCATTTGAAAAAATTGCTTGGGAAATGATGCTCATTTAACCTCTTATTCAGAAAGCTATACAAGGATGAATAACCACGACGCAAGCATCAAGGTTTTAGTTAATGGCACTCGTTTGATTATAGTTAGAGTGAAGTTTCCGCTTACTTAATTTGCCTGAACTTTCGGAAAATCAGATCTGATTGGATGACATGAATCACAGCCAAGATTTGCTTCTCTGTCCATGCTTCTTCTATCGATAGAAGTTGTCTTTGATATCAAGTTCGGAATCTGCCATCTATAGCTCTTTGGACAAGGCATTAGCTCGACTTATTCTAGCAACAACAGATGAGTCGATTCTCACAAGGTAAAGAGCAGTTTCAACTCATCGAGGTGGGCACATCAGGTTAAAGAAATAGTTAGCCTTGTCACCAGGATAATTCGTGAAAAACAATAGAAAACAATAGTAAAGAGCAATTGAAACCGGCAAGGATTTCTACTTTCCATGCCTCTGATATTTAAAGAACCATGAACTTGGTCATATCTGATCAATTGACCCCCTTCCTAGCCTGTTCAATTAGAGCCAAAACTAGTCGGTTCACAAAAGGGATCGGTGGCTTCTTGAAGATTACTGACAGACATGACATATCCGAGGACTTGGATATGGTACATAATACATGTATGCGATCTACGCACCTAACTGAGGGATCCTGGATTGGCAGGTTGCTGTCCTGAAAGGAAACACCAATTGATTATGCCACTCGTGCATCGACTATACTAATATTATCTGCTTCATTTGTTTATCTCATCATCATCCACCGTCTACCTCTGCAATAACTAGTACCCCATTTAGCAAAAACAATGGTTCTTGATCTCTCCAGATCTCCAGTTTCTAGTCTCCCGAGACTCTTCTTTTGTCTTGAGATGATGAATGCATGCACTATTATAATGCCCCTGCCAACTCCCACAGACAAGTCTATGCAGTCGGTGACGGGACTGCCCGTGGGGCTAAGACAAAAAGGAGAGAAATTGCCGAATTCGAATATGAATCAAGTGATTTTGTACGAAGTACACGATTCTAGATGCAGTGAACCTGGAAGAAAACTAGAGATATGCTACATTACGTACATTCAATGCCTCGTTGGTGGAAGAAATGACAACACAGCCCATGCCATAAGAAACCCCCTGTCTTCACATGCTCATCTCTTGTTGATCAAAGGATTCAGATTGTGCATATTCAATAATCCCCTATTGGGTATAAATATATCATTACGATGGACGGTGGCATTTGATTAATGCAACTTGAGCTGACAATTTTTAGTGCATCATGAAAAAATCAGGAATGGCCACTTTCTCGCCCGTAGCTAAGTGCCGGTACAAGAATCGTTCCATAAGCTTGCCTGCTCAGTCGCATCCAAGTGCAGGAAAAATCGAGGAAGAGCTCGACAAGCTCAGGTCTTGGCAGGAGGCACCACTGTCGTGCTCCAATAAGGCGGAGGACTTGCTCCGACGCCTACTTGGGCTCGGCGAGCTGTACACGTGCATCGCAGATTTCCTCTATTTGCCATCCACCAGGAGAGCTCTAGGACAAAGCCGGCACGAAATGTGGCTCGACGGGTTGCTCCAGAGCTCCATAAACTACCTAGACGTGTGCGGCAGGATCCAGGATGCGATCTCATCGTTGAAAGGAAGTGTTCGAGAGCTTCAGTCTGTCCTCAGAAGAAGCAAAGTCAGAATTCTCGACTTTGAGAACGACCTCCATGCATATGTTTCCTTCAGGAAAGGGATGAGGAAGGAAATCGCAAGATCTCAAGCAATGCTCAAGCAACAGGAGCACAACATGCTCGAGGCATTCACTCCCTCACTCCTTGATGATAACCTTTGCGCGGTAACAAGTGTACTAAGAGAGGCGAGTGCCGTTGCCGACTCCGTCTTCCGTGCGCTCCTGTTGTTCCTATCACCATCGGTCTCGAAACCGAAGCTGAGTAGATGGCCGTCGATTTCGAGGTCGGTGCTCAAACGGGTGATGGCTTGCGACGACGACCGTCGGGAGAGCACGGAACCAACTGAGCTAGAGAGTGTGGACATGGAACTTACCAAATTGCTGGAGTCCACTTCAGGCAAGCACATGGATAGCGAGAGGATCGAGTCAGCAAACTTGAAGTTACAGGCTTTGAGTGACTGCGTCGAAGGCCTTGAAAGCGGATTGGAGCGCTTGTTCAGGCACCTAATCCACACAAGAGTGTGTCTCCTGAATTTGTTTTCCGGTTAAAAAGTCCTACCAATTTATATTCCTGTGTTCTTGTTCATGTATAGTCCGGTCATGTAAATCAAGAAAGTTACTATGTAGAGATGAATGATTGATTTATGCATATGAATATGCACGAGTTGTATTTCCTCTTTCAAGAACAATATGTCAACATAAGATTTTTTCATATATGGGTTAATATCACGAATAACCTAAACTAGTACACCTGTGATAAATTTATCCAAAACTAATTTTTTTACTACAAAAAATCCCAAACTATTACATTTGTGACAAATTTACCCTCTGTTAGTTTTCGTTAAATTGGATTAATATCACGAAAAATCACAAATTGGTACAAACGGAAGGTAAAACCTCAAATTGATACACCCGTCAATTGTTACGTGTCATCCAACTCAGTAATTTGACGGTAAAATAATTCATCACAGGTGTATCAGTTATGGATTTTTGGTGGTCAAAAAATAAATTTGAGAAAAATTTATCACATGTGTATTATTTTGTGACTTTTCGTGATATTAACCCTTCATATATCACTTAAATGATGCCACACCTTAGTCTGCTAAACGCATGATCTTGTGTAAAGACACTAAAAGACACCTCAGTTCACAAAGAAGCTTCTTGATTTGTCTTGCTTCTTCTAGAGATCTGTCAATTAAAAACTAACTATTTTCCTCAAAAATGATTTTTCATGAAAAATATGTCTTTATCTTGAAGTTTTCAGTAAAATAAATGCACTATAAAACCAAAAAAACCATTCCCAGCTTTCTTTTCGAGGGATTTAGGGTGTGTTTGATTCAACTTTGTAAATGGGCATTAGCGGTATGCAAATACCTTTAACTTAAAGCCCGTTGGAGAAATGCAAATTGCATTTGGTAAAAAATTCTTTGTGAAACTATTTTGGCCCAATTAGTATTTGGCAAATCTTATTTTGCAAAGGGTTTTGGGATTTTTTTTTATTTAAAAAAAATCTTACCCTTCACTAGAGCTGACGATGGGCTAAGGCCGTCGGTGAGCCAGATCTGGTGCCGGCGGTCGTCGCCTGAGATTGAGCGATCCCAGGGGAGGGCCACTTGGGGTTGCGTGACCCTCGCTAGGAGTCGCCCGACCTCGGGCGACAACCGCCGGCACCAGATCTGGCTAGTCGGCGACCATAGCCCATCACCGGACCTCAGGCGGTCATCACGAGGGTTGGGCGACCTCGCCGGCCCCTTGCCGGCGCTTCGCCGTTCCGATCTGGCCTCTGGCGGCTCTGGCCGACCGTCCTCGCCAGCCACCCCTCAGTCCAAAGAAGATGAACAGTCGCGAGGGGCAAAATTTGAATATTAAAGAATTAGTTATGGTAGTTTGGGAAGAAAAAAATTAGTTTCAACATTAGGCAATTGTTGAAAGCTCAAAGCTGGTCCGGACTAGCTTTGGGCTTTCAAAATTCCCAATGCTGGCTTTCGACTGAAATCCCATTGGAAATGCTTGTCAAATGCCTTAGCATTTTCTCAGGCCGAAAGCCCCTTGGGAATGCTGAACCAAACACACCCTTAGTTTCATTCCTAATATACTGCCTTTGTGCATAGACCAGACATGCCACTCGTGGACAGTCGAGAAATTGATAAGAATTTTTTCGCATGAGAAAATTTAGTAAGTATTGATTGATTCTAAGCACCGTGATTTGGGGACGGTAATATCTGATATAACACGATAACACGACACGAAATTTGCGGGTTTAGATTGAGTGTTATCATGGGAATCGTATCGTATTTTCGTGGGCAGTGAGCCGAGGGGAAATGAGGAGGGTGAAAGAGAAATGGTGGGGTTTTTCTAGGATTCGTTATGAGATGTCATGTGACGCAAATTCAATGGACAGTAAAAGTGGTCCAAGTAATAGTTTATGATTGAGTGTGCCGGCGATTGACGAGAACCGCCGTGAGCGACATTGAGCGGGCAACCCACCAGTAGTTAGCTGCTGTTCCAGCAGCTAACTCTTGCTCTTTGGTAGCTATTAGAATTTGCCCCAAAATGCAAAGCAAGAACTTGGCGAAACAAAGGATGAAACTGGAAACATTAGTGGAAAGTTGATGTCACGCCGAGAGGGTGTGTTTGGGAACCACTTCTTCAAAACCCTTTAGGCTCTGTAGACCTGAAGACCTTTAAACAAATGCAATTACCATTTGGTAAATTTTTTTGGAGTGTTTCGAGGAGATGCAATTTCCATTTCCAAAACCCTTTGATAGTCTAGACATATTATGAGCTTTGAACATTTTCAAAATGTTAATATATGTATTTCCAATTTTATCAAAAAGCGTTACCAGACGCACCTTCAATCCGGACCGAAAGTGTGGAGAGAGAGAGAGAGAGAGGAGATTTTGTAAGGCCAATTTCAAAAAGTAAATAAGATCACCGACATTGAGATCATGTGAGATTCACATCGACTGTGTCGGCCGATGTATCAGACCCACGTGGGCCTGGGTCCGAGCCGTGGGTCCGATCCGGGATTTGCCCCGTATCCCAATGGAGGTTGTAACGGCTCCCTCCTACTAGCCCCCGTCGCAGGATGCCGTGTAACAAAGCGCACGCTCTCGGGCTCCCCCCAACGGCTACATTTTCCCGAGTCCCCCAAGATACGGCGCATCCGCATCCGCCGAAGCAACACCCTCGCATCACCACCGTCAAATCCTCGACCCCGATCAGGTCGGCGCGGGGGCCCCCCCCTCCACCGTCCGATCGACGACCCCCCCGGGGGCCCGATCGAGCCGACCGTTACGCACCTCGCTCCCGACACCACAGCAAAAGCAAAGTGCGTCCCAGCTCGCACGCCTTTTCTTCCTCCCTCTCTCTCTCTCTCTCTCTGGGTGTGGGTGTTAAGAGCGAGAGGAGGAGGAGGAGGAAAGCAATGGCGGTGGCCGCTTCGGTGGCGAAGAAGGTCATGAGGCTCACCATCTGCCTCTTCGGAGGACGCTTCAACTCTTCCAAATGGTAAGTTCCTCCTCGCAAACCCATTTACTCTCTCGTTGAAAACGCCTGCCCGAGCAAATGTGGTGAGGAGAGATCGATTCCGATGTTCGGCTTCCGAAAGAAAGATGCCGACTTTTTGCTTATCCCCGGAAATGGGTATCTGTTTTTGGCCGTCGAGAGTTACGTGAGGAAATGGGGTCGAAACGATTCCGATATACTGAAGATGGGTTTACAGTGGGGGGTGGGGTTGGCTTTCTTTTCTGTTGTTCTGGTGATGGCAACTAAGAGGGTGAGGGTTTTTTTTTTTTTTTGTTGTGATTTGTGTTTACGGGGTGATTTTGTTTGCTTCTTTTTTGGGGGGGAATGGACAGCAAAACGGCGGCGAAGATGACGGTGGCGAGGATAAAGCTGCTGAGGAACAAGCGGCAGGCGGTGGTGAAGCAGATGAGGCGGGACATCGCGTTGCTTCTTCAGTCTGGTCAGGATGCCACTGCTCGCGTCCGGGTACGTCTAGTTTGTATTGGGCTGTGCTTTTTGGTTATCGCATTGGCAGTCGGGGTTGCCTTTGCTTGTATTGGACGGAAGTCGTGTTTGTGTCGAGAAAATTGGTCTTAGGAAAAAGGGCTACTCTCAATTTTCTGGTGGTTTTCTTTTTTTTTACGTCTAATTTGGAATCAGGATGCTTTGAAGGTGATGAACTTGAAATAGTAATATTGGTTTTTGTGTATCATTAGCTTGTGAAGCTATGGTCTGTGTCCTGTGATGAATGTTCCGATTGCACTTTTTGGTCTGGCTAGCTACCTCTGCAATTTTTCGGTCTTTCTTCCCTCAGTAGACATCAAAAGTGTTTAGACATTAGCAAATGCAGTTGCCATGAGGTATGTTAACCAGTGATGGAGTTTGGAAAAATCATTTAGCTGCTGGATTCCCTGGCTAAAGTATGCAGATTGGCTCTCGACATGGTCCGTAGTGAGCTATCTGAGCTGAAGTCAAATCTTTATGAAGTGTTTAGACATTAGCAAATGCAGTTGCCATGAGGTATGTTAATCAGTGATGGAGTTTGGAAAAATCATTTAGCTGCTGGATTCCCCGGCTAACGTATGCAGATTGGCTCTCGACATGGTCCGTAGTCAGCTATCTGAGCTGAAGTCAAATCTTTATGAAGTGAAATGAACAAACGTGAAGCAGAAAAGAATTTTAGGCGTAGTTCACCTTGGTTTAGAGGATTTTTATTGGGTTTACGTCTTAGGTTGGAAGAGTTCAGTTATTTGTCTTGTTAGGTCAATGGTGTTAAGGTAATTGTTCTGTGTCTCATACTCTTATTGGATATGAGCATGTTATAGTAGAATTGTCCCTATTATCACTTCTTTGATGCAACAATCAATTGAGGGCGAGTATAGGGGACATTGAGGAAGATGATGCTTGCTATCTCTTTCTGAATGAAACTGCAATGATGAGTGTTGGAAGCACAACAGACGGAGCTTATGAGATTTTCCAACTCCAGCTTTCCCAAAAAGAGAGTACTGACAATTGCTACTTGGGTTAGTTTTTCCGAGGAAGACAGGACGTGGGAGTTCTGGGATAACCTTTTGAAATACCATAGCTTGGACCAACTTAAGTAAATCACATAACATACCTAACTGCTTAGTTTTCTCGGAAATTAGTGAACTGAAGGACCATTTTCACAATCATAGTTTTTGAAGGCCTTTCTTGACAGTGCGGTGTATATCAAGGAGGGGTGAGAAAGTCTCCAGTTGTTGCTTATGTGGACGCGTCTCGCATTGTTGTACATGATTAAGTTTCTAAATGGCGAAAATTGGTGAAGCGAATCTAGTTGTAGGCTGCATCATTTTCCACCGTAAATAAGTCTAATCCATTTGCATGTGTTTGCTTTGCAGGTTGAGCATGTGCTAAGAGAACAAAATATTTTGGCTGCAAATGAGTTCATTGAGCTCTTCTGTGAGTTAATTGTCGCTAGACTTCAAATCATTGCAAAGCAAAGGTAAAAGAAATGCCCGATCTTCGGAAAACTAAGCAAGTTTGCTTGTTTACTTCTGCTCCTCGATTACTGAGTCCTGATGGGGATCATATATACAGGGAATGCCCTGCAGATCTGAAGGAAGGCATTTCAAGTTTAATATTTGCGGCACCGAGGTGCTCAGAGATTCCAGAATTGGCTGCAATTAGGAAACTTTTTGAGAAGAAGTATGGCAAAGATTTTGTGTCTGCAGCGATTGAGTTGCGACCAAACTGTGGTGTTAACCGGATGGTAAAACTTTGAATAGACTGGATCTTTACATGCGGTCCCTTGTTTATATTTTCTCTTTTTGAGTTAAAGAAGTTACTATTTCCTGTCAATGCATTGATACTCAGTCGATTGCAGCACATGATACATGTATCTTGTCCTAAAATACTAACTTATATAATTTCTTTTTAGCTAATTGACAAGCTCTCCGTTAGAACCCCATCTGGTGAAACAAAATTGAAAGTATTGAAGGAAATAGCAAAGGAGTACCAGATTGAATGGGATACAAAAGAGTCTGAACAGGAGCTTCTAAAGCCTCCTGAGGAGAAAATAGTGGGCTCTCTCTCTCTCTCTCTCTCTCAAATTCATACTTTACTGTTCAGTTGAAAACCTGTTTATTTTCCCTGTTTCCTTCTGTTTTTCTTGATCAGGAAGGACCACAAAAGTTTGTTAGTGCGGCCAGCTTCCCGGTGAAGCCCGTGGGTGTTCAATCTGTTGATCCAAATGAACATAGCGCAAGGTAAATGGATCCCAGTTTTCTTTCTCCTCACGTATATTCACAAGCCACGCCTCTTCTAATGTTTGATCTTTTGCTGCTTCCCCTTAGACCAAATGGTGGCAACAGGGAAACTATGCCATATGAGGACTCCGCATCAGCCGCCGAAGCCGCTGCAGAATCTGCCCGGAAAGCAGTTGCCGCCGCGCAAGCTGCTGCCTATCTGGCAAACAAAGAACCAAATCAAGCGACTCACATTCACCAAACCCCTGCTTCATTTGTGCAAAATGATTTTTCGAGCTTTTCTCACAATCAGCAGGCAAAGGCTCCGGAGGCAACATTCGGTCATCCGAATTATGAAAATTATGCGAACAATGAGGAGAGAAGGCATTCCCCACATATGGAGACCGGAGGAGCTAATAGAAGGCACAGCTACAACAGTGTTAGTTTCGCTCACCCGGAGTCAAAGTTCGACGATGGAGTAAGTGTCGAAAAGTTCCGTTTTTCAGGAGACGATGACTTGCTCTCTACCCACACTGGCGACGGGAAGATGTATCGTAGGCACAGCTACAATGCTCCCTCCAAACGTTCGAACATAAAGTTCGACGAATCAGACTATGAGGAAGATGAAGAGGAGGAAGATCCCTCCAGCGAAGCCTGCCCACCACCGGCTCGGCCTCCGCCACTAGCACCGTCTTCTGTTACACGAGACGCGGTCCCTCGTGTTCATCCGAAATTGCCGGATTACGACGACCTCGCAGCTCGCTTCGAAGCGCTCAAGTATCGGAAGTGAAGTGATGAGTCTGAATACAGTCCATTGCTCCATTCGCATGCCACTTTTGTCCATTACAATTTCCTATCTTGTCTACGCAGCAATTCTATTACGAGGACACTAAACAGATGTAAATTTGATACAGTTTGTTCTTAATCCATATCATACGTTCGTTCCCTGGTTTGTTCCGGGTTATTGATAATCTCCTAAACAGCAAGATAACCCAACAACAATCTGTCACGAATTGACATTCCGTGTGTGAACTGGACGACAAGAACGAAAGCTACGCATAACTGCTTTATATTAAATTTGGTTGTGGTCGGGACAGTGCCAGTGTGCCATTTAGGGATCGACCCCATTAGCTGACTTTGGTCGATTCATGATTAACTCTTCTTGCATCCCTGGCTATGGCTTTGCATCGTCGGCTGCTCTGATCTTTCATTTTCTTTTGCTTGGAGCTTGACTGGATCGTCCTGGCACAGCACGACATAGACAAGCCCATAGCAAATTGGACAAATTGGACAAGTAGATGATATTTTGCATGGGAATATCATTATATCCAATGTCAATGTAAAGAAGAAAGCAAAAATTACACAGTTATTGTGGGATGGATGTCGTGCTTGTTTGGATATTTTACAACCCAGTAAGACGTTTTTTTAGAGGGCAAGTGAGTTACTCCGTTCTTTTGTGGTCTTGGTTGAAGCCTTGTCGAGAGTGCGTGAACCAGCCGAGGTCCGTGAAAGCTAGCCCGGACACCATTAACCGTTAACCCAAACGAAAAGTGAGTTTATAAATATGAAAACAGTAGCGACAAAAGACTAATTTGGCATCAACTCTTTATCCAAAAGCACCTAAAAGAAAAGCCATACCAAACCCAAGAAAAAATGTCAACACGGATTGGAAAGTATAATTTTTTTTAATGTCGACGACATGGCAGATATGATCTACGTAGCTTTCAGATGCAAAAGTCTTTGGCACGTGAACAGCTTGGATCAAAAGAACCCTACTTCGCACCCAAATCATATCTTCGTCACTGTATAGATGATACCGTAACTCCCCTATGCGTTGACCTGGTCATCTGTAGGTTGGCTAGTTCTCAAATCATTGCATGAAGAACGCTTGCCGGATCAATCGGTAAAACTCGTGCTGTGAAACTTCAGACCATTTACTTTAAAAAATGTACGATGAGCTTGTCATATCAGTTCTTTGCATGTTGGCTTGATACTTATCATGTATCAGGAAAACGCGGGCCTACTCGCTTATTAAATGAGATGAATATGACAGAAAATAGAGCAGCCAAAGTTGATAGTCCCACCCTTAATAAATTCGAGGAGCCTGCTGTATCTTAACTCTTTCATTATTTCCATAGCTGCCTCAGAAGAACCGGGTCTCCTCACATACCCATCAAAGTCCCACTGGCATTTTTCTTTTTCGTTTCTTTTTTCCTTCCTAGAGAAAAATATCGTATATGCCTACTCGTCGAGAAATATCTCATATACCTATCATACTACGTGTCATATCATGTTCTGGATTGGATCAATAATATATCCAAAATTCGTTGTAATAGAATCATCGAATGACTTGCTTCTTCGTGTCAATGGTGCAATATGTACATAGATGCTTTCTCTTTTAAAGAAATGCTAAATATGCTAAGATTGATTTACAAGATTGATTCATTAAATTACGCGACAAACTCATAACGAATCTGAAGTATGACCCATCTTGACTTATAATTTTCCTTTCCCCATTAACACCCCCACTTGCACTGTCTTGGAACGCCCCCTTTCATGGCCAAGGCTTAAAATTCACATTTTTAGCCAAAAAAAAAGGCTTAAAATTCACATACAGCAGTTCCTGCATGCAATAGAAAGTTAGTATAAAAACAGTTTGAAGTGCCACGACCATGTTGCTCAAGTGAGAAAGTGTCTCAGTGTCACCCAAAAGGCCCAAATCACAGGATGGCCGATGCTAGTGAAATTAATCCAGCTCCTCCGACCACGGTGCCACGGGCACCGTCGACGAGACCAGCACCTCCACCGCCGATCTCTTGCCCACCCTCCCAGTTCAACCCGACCACAGACCATCCCAATCCTAATGCAGGGGCATTAACCTCTAGCAAAACCCCCAAAACACCCAAAACGCCGAGAACGCCGAGACTGTCTCTCACGCCGAGGTTTCTGACTCCTCTGGGAAGCCCCATGAGGAAGGCGCTGCGCCTCACGAAGCTCGACCCGCAAGACGCTTGGCTTCCCATAACCGAGTCAAGGAATGGCAACAAATACTATGCTGCTTTCCACACTCTGTGCTCTGGGATCGGCATTCAAGCTCTGGTTCTCCCAGTGGCCTTCACTATACTCGGCTGGTAAAATATACACACCCATCAAAACTATTGAGATCTTGAAGTTAGATCAATGTTGAGTATGAGCTCAAGCTGATAGTTTGTTTGCTTTGAGAATGACTCCATGGTTATTGACCATATGAGTTGAGTCCGAGTTGAGCTCGATCATACCATCGTGCTTGACTCGTGCGGCTCACTAGCCTCGACTGTAGAAAACTACGTCTCATACGTTCGATATAGTCATGGCGGTATCACCGTATATCATTACCGTGATCCAGTCTTTCTTATTATAAAGTTAGCACCAATCTGAGTCTCAAATTCTTGTTTGATACTACGAGCATAGCCTCATTAGCTTATTTGATTTTCATCAACAGAATTTGATTTCGCGCCCATAACCTCACGAGCTTAGCTGACTACACAGATATGCTTTTTTGTTCGTGCGGCTTGTACAGTGCTGATGATTGATCTGCGTTTTCAGGACGTGGGGAATCATAGGCTTGACTTTGGCATTTATATGGCAGCTCTACACACTGTGGTTGCTAATCCAACTTCATGAATCCCCGGAAACTGGGATGAGGTACAACAGATACATCCAGCTCTGCACTGCTGCTTTCGGTTCGTGCTTCGCTACTTTCCATTTCTGACTCTTCTTAATCGCCTCAAGTGAATAAATTTCTTTGTCTTGAGGATGATCTTGTTCGTTTTTTTGTTGCTTTTGTTTTTTCACTGTCACAGGTGAGAGGCTTGGGAAATTGCTTGGTTTATTTCCAATCATGTACTTATCAGGTAACAGTTTGGTGATTGGTCGCGTATAATAGAAACTCGATATTCCATTATCTCGCCAATTTGTTATGTTCAATGCATAGCGATTGATCGTGTCCTCAGAGACGTGGTCTTGGACATCACTAGGCATGTGCTACATAGCATATACTGCGACTGACTGGAACTATCGTGCATATGTCTTCGCCTAACTGTAGGTGGCACTTGTGTGGCACTGATCATCATCGGCGGATCCACGTCCAAGCTCTTCTACCAGATCGTCTGTGGGACCACTGCATGCGCCGCAAAGACGCCACTGACGTCGGTGGAGTGGTACCTGGTCTTTACTTGCGGGGCAGTGGCGCTTTCGCAGCTGCCCAACTTGAACTCGATCGCTGGAGTCTCTCTGATCGGAGCGATAACAGCCATCGGGTACTGTACGTCCATATGGGTGGTGTCCGTGGCGGAGGGTAGGCTTCCCGGAGTGTCTTACAATCCAGTCAAAACTGGGACTCGTTTTCAACATGTGAACAGTGTGCTTAATGCACTTGGGATTATTGCTTTTGCCTTCAGAGGCCACAACCTCATACTTGAGATTCAGGTCAGCCACTGTTTTACTCTAATCCATGTACTAAACTTCTTGGAAAGCTTTGCTTAAGTTAAGATTCATTAATTGATCTCAAACTAGGTTTTGGGCCTTTTAAGACTGATTTGTCCCTTCCATTTCTTTCAATTAAAGAAGGAAAAGGGTGTTTTATCTTGGTGAATCTCTCCATTTTACAGGCAACTATGCCATCAAGTGAGAAGCTTCCTGCGCATGTACCAATGTGGAAAGGAGTGAGGGTTTCATATACACTCATCGCAATGTGCTTGTTCCCACTAGCAATTGGTGGTTACTGGGCTTATGGCCACTTGGTGAGCTCAAAATTTAGGGTTTTCAACTGCAGAATGACTTCACTTCTATTGTACTAAAATCAATCACTGTTACATGCGAGTAAAAGGGTGTTCTTTCGACAGATACCTGCAAACGGTGGGATGCTCACAGCCCTTTACCACTTCCATTACCGCGACGTCTCGCGATCCGTGCTGGGATTGACTAGCTTGCTTGTGATAATCAATGCTTTGAGCTCGTTCCAAATCTACGGCATGCCCATGTTTGACGACATGGAGTCTAAGTACACGAGCAGGAAGAAGCAGCCATGCCCATGGTGGCTCCGGTCGCTGTTCCGGGCCATGTTCGGGTTTGGTTGCTTCTTCGTGGCTGTGGCAATCCCATTTCTGGGGAGTATGGCCGGGTTGATTGGAGGAGTTGCGCTGCCTGTTACTTTGGCATACCCGTGCTTCATGTGGTTGAAGATGAAGAAACCAAAGAAATACAGTTTAATGTGGTGGCTCAACTGGGTCTTGGGGACCCTGGGGTTGTTGCTGAGCATCTTGCTGATCGCAGCCGGGGTCTACGTCGTGATAGACACCGGCATTGAAGTGAGCTTCTTCAAGCCTCACTAGAAAGCCTCGAGTGTGCCACGATATAGCTACGATATAGCTACTCTGAAGTGTGCAGCTACTGCGGTTTGCCACCTTTTGTTCAAGAAGCCACGTTTGGAGGAAAAACCACAACAGTGGTTGTATTGTGTTTCTTTAGGACTGATATGTGAATGGATTGATTTTCAAGATAATCCTAAGTTGTAATGAACAATCCCCAATCCCCATTCTCTTGGCGAACTTTGGTGAGACACCATAAGTGAATATTACAGGGCCAAATGAAAGAAGAGCCAAATATCCCACTGCTAAGTATTTTCTAAATACCACCAAAAGAACAACAAACAAGCTCGTATAAGCAATTTGACAGTGTAAATGCCAGCATCTGAACTAAACAATATGCACAGAGAAAAATAGTTGAGTTGAATTTCAAATGCGTCAAAACCTTAGCAGCAACGGCATGTTAGAACATCCATGCAATTGTATGGCCTTGACTTCTCTTCAAGTTCGAGAGCTGTGGGCAGCCTTTCCATATCGTAAATGCTGCTTTGAGCACAACAGAATCTGTACAAGTTTCTGCATACACCTTTACTAAAAGGGAACAGTCCTTCAGGAATTCCTCTGCAAGTTCACGAGAGGAACTAGGTGAGAGAGCTCTAAAATCATCATTAGTGCGCCTTACATATTTGGGCAATTATGATTAGCTACTCCGAGCCTACTCTCTATGAAAAAAGGGCTTGTCAAAGAGAGTTTTCAGCAACTTATATGGACGCAAGCAAATAGTCGTCATTTCATGTTTTGTTGAACACTCACATGAAGAACATAAATTGGCTATCGTACATGTCCTTGAAAATTTTCTTCACATCAGATTGCACATTATCTTTACCAGAGAAACCTTATGCCAAGCATCTTTGTTTAGAATATAACTAGAGTAGAGCAGATTAAAAGAAAAAACAACATATTGATAAAGAGTAAAAGATAGGTGTTGCTCAGTGAACTGAATTGTAAACAAGCCTCTCTTAGCCAATTACTCCAACCATTGAATGGAGATTTAGTAAACATCCTAAAACACTGTAGCAGTGAACAACTTACCTGAGGTATGAGATGCGTCTACGTCTGACAAGTTCATAGGTGCTCTGATTCGTCAGCACAAGGTAGCTGTAGCGAAGGTGATGCAAGGATTAACAGGTATAAATCCACATAATATATGAAGAACATCTCAAACAAAAACGTTCAGGTCATTCAGCTGCTTATATGGAATGAGAATTAAAAACTTCCAGAACCAGTAAGACCAATAATAACAATAGAATACGATGGATCGAAATGTAGGTGAAGTCTATCCAGCTCATCATACAAGTCAGTTTCCTGAAGCATATGTCAACCAGGAGAAAGAATTTGCTATAATACAACAAAACAATAAGGGTCAGTAGGATTCTATTTATTAACACCTCAATGACAGGGATATATTTATGCATCCGAGTCATCAACCCAAATAACACGACAGCCAACAATCAAAATATGGACATGTGACCATTCATAGGAAAGAAACCGGAGACCATACTAAAGATAAAAAAGGAAGAAAGCGAAACTTGGATAAACAAATTCTTTTGAAAAGATGAATGATAGCAAACTCTGCACGTACCTATGAAAAAGCAGTAGTAGGAGAAGAAAGATGAATAAAATCACCAGAGAAATTAATAGTAGTATCATTATCAGATCCTTCCACCTGTCAACATAATCAACAAGGACCTCAGACACTAATGGATGACATATAATAATAAAAAAGACGAGTGACACCGGATCAAAGAACCACTGTCACAAACCAATTCACTCTCCTTCTGAGGGACTGGTAATAAGCAATAAAAAAAATGCTCCCATTACAGAGGTCCTGATATCAGCTATTTAACATGCCTAGTGCGGCAGGGCAAGCAAGGAAAGGATACCGAGCACTTTGAGCTTTTGAATCTCTAAATCTTTTGGAAACCAGGAACCTTGGTTTTAAGGAATAGGTGGTTACAGTTGCTACACTTTTTGTTTAAGGGAAAATATCTATCCTTGACGATATTTCTGTATTGCACCTCAAATTCTCCCTCTTACAGATGATTCTATGTAGAGTGGTGCTCCCTTGGTATTAATTCAATTAAGTAATTTCCCTTGCATTCCATATGAAGTAAAACATCTTTAAGAGATAAAACACATACCAAGCCCCAGATATGCTAGTCTTCAGGTATGCAATGTACAAGATGCCAGTCCACAAGCACAGTGCATTCTCTTCAAATATATACCACCTGGGATAATAAGGCACAACCGCTCAGTAGAAAAGATTTGTCATCAATGAAGAAAATTCTATTCTAAAAAACTTATTATTCACAATTTGAGGTGATGGTTCAGTTAGAGTGTTGATTGTACTTCATTGCGTTAGTGCTTTATGCGTTAATTTACAAAAAGAACAGTTTGTTACTTAGCATGCTTCAGAAAGTCTTTAAAGAACATAAAAATTGAAAGGCCAGTGTTAAGAATTTCAAAAAAAAAAAAAAACTCAAAAATTGAATGGCACACCATGTGGATGGAGATGAATTCTGCAGAGGGGGCACTACCCCTGTATCATTGCTCGGCTATCAGTTGTTTGATCCCGTAAATGATTTCGTTTTAATCATAATTCACAAGATATTAAGGAACCATTTTCAGATCCTCCCAGTGCCTCTGTGCATGTTCCATGATCGAAGTTCCATGACGAATTATGTGCTAGCTAAGGAAATGTCTATTTACAGGGCTAGCTACTGGGAGCAAGAGATGTAAGCTCACCAAAAACGACAGTGATTACCCTGGCCAATGCATGTTCCAAGCCAAACACAGTGGTGATCAAATTGAAGAACGCATTTATCACAATCATGACAATGCTTTGCTCTTGGAGGCTGCAATTTGGATTCGGTGAAGTTAAACCAAGGATAACTTATCTAAAGGACACCAAAATCTGGTGCCAAATTAGAAGAGATAAAGTTATCTAACAGTTAGAAGAAATAAAACTGTCACAGTTTTGAATCATAAGAACAAAAGATGATAGTGCTATCAAGGTAAAAAATGGATATAGGAGCAGGAAAGCTCAACAATATTATTAACACAATGTACTCCCTGAGCTTCTCCAACTACAGCTAGGTTGCTGTCCAGTGCAAATGCATGCAGACAGAGTCCCTCAATAATCTTATCTACAACATGCTGAGCTGAGCATTTGAACATGTGCTGATGATGTTTAAGTGCTGAATTTTGATTTCCGGTTTGCCCATAACATCATAGATAGCAGAGACCACTGGATCACTGCAGGGGTTGACCGACCAAATAGTAATCTAAAAGTAAGTGGTTGAATAATCAACTAAGCCAATTTACCTAAGTAAAGGATGTCCAGAGAAATACGAGTTTGCAATGATATGGGTTTCATATGTCCATACCAAAGGAGTAAACATCGCCCCTTTCTTGCCAGTAAGACAGCACCCCAATTAAGTGTCACAAAAAAGGGAAGTATTGTTCATGCTACTAACTTTTATAAGGAAAACAGGAGCTCCCGTTCTGTTGCAATTGTCAAAGAGCATTAATGGAAGCATGCCTAGATTATATACAGATATACAGTAAACTAAATCATAAAACCAAGAGACAGTTACCTGCTCAATATTACAGTACGAGCATGTCAAAGTTCTGCATAATCATGACAAAGTAGTTAGAAAGAAAAAAGTTTAGGGTGAAGGGAAAAGAGATCCTCTTTATAAAAGCTGATTTTAGAACAACTTAGAGGAATTCAACAGTAGTATACAAAATCGTAATACTGCAGGCCAAAGAAGAATGACTACACTGGAAGAACTCAACATGAAAAGTCACAGAATATTACTTCAGTGTGTACACATATCTTTGCCATAAATGACTCCCTACCTCATGGAAGTTCCAGTGGGATAAAATTCCATCACCATCTTTGACCAAGAACTACTTCCAAGAGAATTTCTTCCAGACTGACCATTATCCACAGTCCCAGTCAAGCGACCATATTTGCTTGAAGCAGGATGTCTTCACTTGAACATTGTAAAGATATCCAAGCAGCAAAATGAGTTGAAATAAATAATTATGAATTTTGTGTTTAATAACAAAATCTAGAAGAAGAATTAAGTCCTTACTTTGAAGCTGTTGGACTCCTCTTAAACAGTAAGTTTGCTTCATTGTAAGTTTGCATTGCATCAAGGACATATCTAAAAGCATAAAAGAAGAAAGTACATCAGGTATAAAGAACCTGGTAGATCATTTACTCCAAGTTGTTCGACACATAGATTTTCGGTTGTGACGTCTACCCTGGCGAAGAACCAGCTGTGAAGAAGTATTGGATTAATGCAGCAACAAAAAGCAGCAAATACAAGGCAGTGTACCTGACAAGTACGAAACAAAAATTAGCAAAGTGAAGTAACTGACTTTTTAAGTCAAGTTATTCACAGATTAATAAACATTTATAGACTCAGCACTCATTGTCAAGCAATATCCAATGAAATTTTAGGACGGTGAATGGGTAGACACCTTCCAAATATGACAAGTGAAAAAAAATGACCATCTTATTGCTCGAGCAGAATTGGTCACAGCAACTATGGTTATGAATTTTGAGCTTCATACGGGAATTTTCTCATCCAAAACAATTAGAAGTATTAGTGAAATCAACAATCATTTTTTTTAAGACATGAAACCCACCTTAAGTAGGTAAACCTTGAGTTCATGAAATACCCCATAATCTCATGGGCCATGTGTGCAAGCTAAACCCCGAGTGGATACCCTAAACATGAAATTATTTGCACTTGGCAGTATGGGGCCCAAAATGTTCTGTGCGCGTAATCCATGCATATAATCTATTCCTTAACTATTAAGCTAATTCCATGAGATTCTACTATCAATTTATAATTTCCGAATTTGGACTAAAAAACTATACCAACAAATCGAGGAATGTTTTCGTGGCTTTTGACTATGGTCTTTTCACTTGAGTCGTGATTTGAACTCTTGGTTTATCTGAGCATTTGAGAGACGTGTATCACGAAGCCTCTCAAATATTCACAACTTAAACCAAACTTAGTTCGTTAAGCGATTTAAACTTTTTGAAACATTAATATGAGTTGTCAGAAAAGCCCTCAATCCTCGAAAAACCTGAATCTTACTTCCCTTCAGTGACTCCCTAACAGGTAAAAGCGACCTTTTTCCAGACGAATTCGAACAGAATGCTATAGTGGCTAAATTGAATTTAAAGACGGTCCAAAGAAGTATCATCTGCAAAAAACAATCAGCATTTAATGCTCTAGTATTATTTCAGTGCCGAAATTAGAGCTCTAAAGTTCTACCCTTCCTCCCACAACAACAACAAATCTCGCGTTAACTAGGACGCTCGACGTCCACTAATCACACTGCAAAACCTCAATTGCAACCTTTATCCAACACGAAAGGTAAACAACACAGGAGAGGTAATCAACGTACCACGGTTCCCTTCTCGTCTTCTCGATCAAGCCTTCGTCAAACAAAAACAGAAAGCCCGCGTATACGAGATGCAGCGCCACCACAGACACCTTCAGCCCCAACGAAGATCTCCGAGCTGCAAAGTCACGCCATCAACAGGGTCGAACACGACGGCGGATCAAACCGGCCGCAAACGCCAAGCGCAGCGAAAGTTAAACCCCCCCCAACGGAACCCTCGCGGACGAACAAAAAAAGAAAAACTCCTCGCAAACAACAAGAAACGACGGCGGGGGAGATACAGAAGGAGGAGGAGGCTCACCGGGATCGTCGAGGCAGGGGAAGCAGCGGGAGCACCAGTCGAGCGCTCGATCGCGCAGCTCCCCGATGGGCGCGCATACTCCGCCGGTCGACATCCGAGAAAGGAGAGCCGGCGCGAACTCGCATCCGAGCGTCGATCAGGCCAGGCCGCGGTTGTCGCCGGAGCCGCGTCCCGTCCCTCCTCTTCCCCCTTCCGGGGTAAACGAAGCCCGCCCCTCCTCCTCCTCCTTCCCGGGAAGGAATCTCGCATGCGAGATCGAGCCGCGAGGATCGCGAGCTCGCGCGTGAGCAGGAACGGCGGCCGCTCGATGGAGAATCAATGGAGGGAAGAGAGTGTGAGGGGATGATGCGAGGGAGAAACTGAAACGAGGGAGCTGGAGGTGGAAGATGACAACTCGTGTCTGGTTTTTCTTCGCCATTTTCTTCTTTCTCATTTAATGCAGCGTTTTTTTTAGGTGTAGCGCTCCTTTTTTTTTTTTTTTTTCCCAAAAACGAACCTCCGATCGCATCAAAGTAGTCCGGATATTACGAGGAGGAACCGGAGCCTACATCAAGACGATAGATTAAAGAAGGGGTAACGGCATAAACGATTTTTGAACCTTGGCTTAATATGTAATTTGATTCATAAATTTTTAATTTGTTTAATGTAGTCCCTGAACTTTAGCTTAATATTTAATATGGTCCCGAACTTTTAATTTGTCCAATGTAATCACTGAACTTTTGGTATATATTCAATTTAGTCCTTGAACTATATAAAAATGTACAATATAATCCATGAACTTAAATTAATTAAAGGACTATATTGAACATTTTTATAAAGTTATTATAAAGTTCAAGAACTATATTGAACATGTATCAAAAATTCAGGGACCACATTGAACAAATTGAAAGTTCAGGGGCTACATTAAATATTGGATAAAAGTTCAGGGATTATGTTGAACAAATTAAAAGTTCATGGATCAAATTGCACATTGAGTCAAATTTCAGGGACTATTTGTGTCATTTTCCCATTGAAGAACAACTCCATCTAAATGGGAGATTATTAAAAAGAAGAGAACATACTAGTTCTATCGGTCTACTTTAAACTCCATTCTAAGTTGTTGCTAAGTAGGAAATGAGAGTTCGAGACGAAAAGGTGAATACACCAAGGGCAAAAGACTTTTCACGCCTTATAATCACTTTTAAAGACAGCTTTATGGATGCCGAGAGACTGAGCGGCTTTGCATATGAGAAGAAGAGCTGCAACTTCCATTTTCACCGGCGAGTTCCTTCTTCCTTATCTTGTCCACTTTTGGACAACCGAGCCTCTATTCGATTGTGCAATAATACATTTCGCCCCTCTATTATCCTTACACGCACCATCTGCATTAAAATGAGGAGTGGCACTCTTAGCTCTATATATTTAAGGGCTCGCCTATTAATTCTTTTTTGTTGACCAAAAATTATTTAGATATAAATATGGAAAAAAATGTGTCATTAATTATTTTACAATTTTTTGTGAAAATTCAAAGTGAGTGTCTTGGAATCGACTTTTACTTTTTAAATTGTTTAAAATTTCCAAATTTTGACTTTAATTTACCGTGAAACACTCGAAAAACTTTTATCCAGGAAAACAAAAATAGTTGCGTAAAATATGGCTATCGTTTCTACAAAAGCAAATATAGGGGTCTCTTTCAATATCGAGTTTTAACCAAAGATTTTTATCGGCATATAGGCTTACTAATTAAAAAAAAAGTCATAAGTCAATGTTGGTTCGAAAAGGAAAAACTCATTAGTTAAAGAATCGCGATAATTATCAATTACAAATATGAATCTTTGGTATTTTGAATTAAACTGTAATCTGTAATATTTTAAATTTGAAGTTAAGTCTCACATTTACTATTATTTCAATCTGTTTGCGAAAAATTACCTTTTCTTAATTTTACTCAAAAACTATGTGTTTAAGCAGCAATTACCATATTAGGGATATTATTTCACATCATACAAATACCTTTTTCGGAATCACAAATAGTTTTACCGAGTCTAAACATCGCACTGCATCCCATCAACTACGTTCACGTGCGGACTAACTTTTACTTTTATTTTTATTTTTCCTTTAATATATATTTTATTACCCACATATTTCGTTTTTTAAATTAGAAACACCTGAAAGTATCATACGTCGACATGTATACGTATAGTTGAAGTACTTTTGATTTAAGCAATCTTAAACAAACAAACTCAATAATTCTCTAATAGTGATAATTTAAATTAATGATGGTTTTAAATCACATATATATATTTTTTTATCTAATCAATATTTTGGAATATTTATTGTTAAAGAAAGAAGAAAGAGGCGATGAATGCAGGATGGGACCCACGGGTATATGCCACAAATTTGGTCTCATATCGGGGTAAATAGTGAAAATAAATACAAGCCATTTGTTTATGTACCGGACCAGCTGCGATCTGGCCATGAAAAACAAACTTCTGAATCTCCCATGCTCACAACCTTTTGGTCTGGTTGAAGAACTAGATGTATAGATGTTCTCGAAATTTCAGCACAATCTGATAAGGAACGACTACATAATTGCCAGCTTCTGCAAAATTAGAGGAGATACTTTCGTCACTCACGGATAAAATCGTCTCAAAAGTTATAAATCTATTATCCGACGATCAATTCAGTTCCAAATTTTTCAATTGTGCCAATCTAGTCATAAAACTTTTAACGATTTGTTAATATAATCCTTTAGCAATTCCGGCCAAAATTACTCGGAATGACTACATTGGCAAATTATCAAAAGATTTAAGACTAAATTGGTACGATTGAAGGGTTTAGGACTAAATCGGTCTCCATTTTAAGACAACATATCTAGGACAATGGTTCTTTAACTCTTGGATAGGAGAGGTTCAGAATTGAAAACATTTGTGGAGCCCGGGACATTGTGGTGGAAAATACTTAGAACAATTCAAAGGAACAATTACCTCGGTGGTGAACAAACTTCTTTTAAGAAAGGTTAGAAAGTGACAACAGGATTGTCTTTCCTCTGTGATTCCCTGAAAGCGAAGTTGTGTTTTGGATGAAATGAATTGGTTCATAGATTTCATCCCAACATCTTTTGTTAGCACTTAGGAATGCAATAGTTTTCTTTTGGGTCGGAAGGAAAATTTTCATTTCATATGAATGAGAGGTCCATAATTTCAAGATAAAAATAAAAATCCCATAAAGCAAGTAAATTTGAAAAATGAATCAACTTGGTACAACCTGCAGAGACTCGCTAATTGCATAGAGACGGATCTATCATAGCATTAAAGCACAATTGGCAATCGATCACCGAATTTCGCATCATCATCAATGACAAATACATGCCAAGAAATCCCTCTTTAGTGGCTATGGCTTTGCCAAAAGGCAATGCGCGCCTAAGTTTGGCGTCCCTAGCGTCATTGTTGTATAAATACCATAACAACATCAAAAGGTTGAAAGAGCACAAAAAACGCCTCGTAAAAGGATAGAAGAGTACTAAAATCTAGATCTAGCTCTAGAACGAGAGAGAAGAGATACAAAAAGAGAAACCGGTTGATCACAAAATCACTTTTGAATAAACCGATTGCTGAAGGCAGCAACAAAGGAGCCCGGAGACTTGTGGAGTGCTCGACTATCTAGAGCAAGCACCTAGAGCTAGAGCGAGTGAGCAAACCCGGAGCGAGCAGATTCTCCCGAGGCACTCGTGCTTCGATCTTTAAAGCTCACTTACGTAGAGGATTTCGATCACATTGTTAACACAATGATATTTAACTATAATCCTTGATTCTAGCTAATTACAATCATAAATATATTTTACAGCTCATTCTCACACACATCGTCCATGAAATCAACGAAGAAGTCTAGAAGATAGACAAATAGAGAGACAGAGGGGGAGTGGGAGAGGGGAGGGAGGGAGGGAGACTCTCCCTCGGGGGAGTAGCTTCAAAGAAAAAACGTTGGGTGGCTACGGCTTCGAGAGGAAACCCTAAAGGAGGCTCTTAGGAATGCAATAGTTGGCCACGTGTCAATTGCCAGGTTTTGGAAGCATATTTGCCGGAGCTGAGAGCTGAGCTTGCCAATCTGGGAACCGGATTCAATACAGGGATACAGTCTCACTCTACTTATAAGCTTAAGATTTTGACGACCTTCTAATCAATAGTCACATTTCGAAGTGCATCTTCATTCAATACCATGTTAAAATGCCAAATCCAAAACCTTAACTAATTAATTAGATGGAGATCGCATGAATAAGATTGTACTTATTTGCACCGGTGGTCAAGTAACGTGGGATGATATTTTAACACTAGTTCTCACATACAAACCAGACCGGAACAAAAGTGGAAGCCTGAATCTGTTCCTACGTTAGGATATTGAATCTGAGTAATTATAATTTTGGATTAGACTTTTCGATATAGATATTCGGTCAACACCAATTTAAGCACAAGGGTCTTTACTTCTATATGGGGTCTCAAGAAAATGCGCAAATACAATAATTCAAAACCTAGATCTTAAGCGAGGAAGACACATACACTCTTTATCACATGAGCAACCCTTATGATAGTGTCGGATTCGGTATTGTTGCCGAAAAAACTCAACTTGGAGAGAACTGTCTGCTGGGACGGTTAGGTCCTGAGTACCAAAAGGTAATGTCTGAACAACCGAAGCATCTGGCAATGACTAGGTATAGCAGATTAGAAGAAGCATGAACATAGAAAAACTGATTCAAGTAGTTCTCCTTTTTGTCACACAAACAAATTCGTAGTCTTGTCTTCTCAGCATTATGCCCTAACAATTTATTCCCATTGATCTTGCAAAATTTGCTTGCTATGACAGTATTCGGCATAAATCACCTCCTTTCTCTTTCGACTATACTCTCTCTCCAGCCGTCTGGTATAAAATCTATTAGAATAATCCGCCCAGATGTAGATCAGATTTTGGTTTCTCTGCCTAGAACCAGTTGGATCTTGGGATAATGACTCCTTAGTTCAAGTCACATCATAATTTGGCGAAGTTGCTGCTTCTTGAATTGCTTCCAACTTCAGCCTGCTTCATTTATAAGTTTGCGTGGCCTCCATGGTGCAAAGCAAGACTGGCCAAAACCCAACTCGAGAAAATCTTTCTGAAGCCTATATTTTCTCCAAGAAAAGAAAAGGACAGCATTTGCCATGGCAAAGAAGCCCTTAACTTCTATGTTTCTCGTTACAGCAATGACTATGGTGATCTTGCTTCGTATTAAAGCGGACAAGCTCCCGATTTTCTTATTCGGCGACTCGACGATGGATGTCGGGACTAATAACTTCTTGCCGGGGTGTAAAGCAAGGGCCGACATTAGTTTCTATGGGATCGGTTCTCGCGGCTCGCGGCCGACGGGGAGGTTCAGTAATGGCTATAACACTGCTGATGCACTTGGTAATTTTCTTTAGAGAACAACGTTTAAGCACAATCATTGTTGGATTCATTCCACTCGATCAAGTGAATATTGTATATCAAGAAACATTGAGTTCATTACTTTTGATGTCTGTTGGTGATTGTCATTGTAATGATAACTATTAATTTATATTTTGGGGGTTCTTTTTTGGTGTATGTAGCGAGGTTAATGGGTCACAAGAGAAGTCCAAGACCATTTTTGTCACTCATCACCCAGATGAGCAACTTCAAGAGGAATGTACTCACTGGTGTGAACTTTGCTTCTGGAGGGTCAGGAATCATGGACACTACGGGGAAGAAATTTGTAAGCTCTCACATTGATTCCGAGATATATCGCATATCGCGACTGCTTAACCTCTAAGCACTTTGCGCCCTCTTATTAATAAACAGGGGCGAGTGATACCGTTCGGGGAACAGGTGGAGCAGTATGCGACGGTTCGAAACAACATTACGGAACTGATGGGGACATCTCGAGGGAAGACTATGCTCTCGAATTCCCTCTTTGTCATCAGCGTCGGAAGCAACGACATCTTCGATTACTTCGAGTCCAGTCAATCTCGGAGCCCCGAGTTCCTCGTGAATCTTGGTAACCAATATGAAGCTCACCTGAAGGTGTGTATCTTAACCTCTTTCACACATTCAGGGGGCAACTGGCCAGTCCTTGCCTTAACAAGAAGGGAGATTCATAGGGCTCTTACCACTTATTACCTGACTAGCAACGTTTGGCATAAAAGACAGAACTAAGCACTAACTATTATCACGTTATGCCTGTATCCTTCAACTCAAAGAATTTCTTATTCGACTCTTTCATATATATAAACTCTTTTAATATACCCAAAAAAAAAATCTTTTAATATGAAAAAATTATTAGGCGAATGTGGATCGAGTGCATATATTCTAGGAGGCAAAAGGACACTATAAGTGCCATAACTTGTGTACGGCGCTCACTTTGGTGCCATAACTTTTTTTCGGATCACTTTGGTGCCAAGTCGGAGGGAAAACGATCACTTAAGTGTCATAACTTTTTTTTGGATCACTTTAGTGCTAAAATTTTTGAAAAACGATCACTTAAGTGCTAAAATTTTTGAAAAACGAACATTTAAGTGCTAAAATTTTTGAAAAACGATCACTTAAGTGCCAATCTCCGGCGAGACTCCGGCGAGCCACGTCAGCTTCAGAAATTAATAAAAAAATGCCACGTCAGATTTCCGGCGAAAAATTGTGTACGGCACCGGAGTTGGCACTTAAGTGATTGTTTTTCAAAAATTTTAGCACTAAAATGATCCAAAAAAAAGTTATGGCACTAAAGTGAGCGTCGTACACAAGTTATGGCACTTATAGTGTTCTTTTGCCTATTCTAGGAGTGTACAAAACGGACTGCCCAAACCGGAAATCGCCGGTTTGGTGCGATTTCCGGGAGTGTCGATCTGGTTCCTGCTTCTTAAAAGTAGAACTGGTGTCCGAGCAGCCTGACTCCCGATTCCAATGGGGAATTGGACCGAACAGGACCAACCGGACCGGACTGACTACATATACTATTTTTTATTATTTCTTCAAAAAAATTAGAAAAATGCAAACTAAACCCCAAGTGAACTTCATTGACATAATTCACTGAAAACATTAGTAAAATGTGAATTAAACCCTAAGTGAATTTCATTGACATAATTTCATTGATAAAAATTAGTAAAATGTGAAATAACCCTTAGTGACCGGTTCCATTAGATCGGTCTGGTCCGGTCTCCGGTTCCCAATTTTGGGAACCGGGAACTGATCACTCCCAACCGTTAAATCCGGGGGGTCGGTTAGAACCATATATCGAGCGGGTGGACCTTATATCATGTCAAATGGTTTGGCTGCATTTTAGCAGATGCACTTGGTGCGCGTCATAATACAATTTACTATATGTTCACCATGTTTCGCAGAATCTGGCAAGACTTGGAGCGAGGCGGTTCGGCATCATCAGCATCCCGCCGATCGGGTGCGTCCCGATCCAAAGGCTGCGGGGCAACGGCAGCGGCGGTTGCATGCAGGACATCAACGACTACGCTGAGGCGTTCTTGGCCGTAGTTAAAGGAGTCCTACCGAAGCTGAAGTCCGAGCATCAAGGAGTGCAATTCTCTCTCGGGAATGCTTATTTGGCGACCATGAGTATCATCAACATTACGTTCCGTAAGTGATCTTCATGATATGACTACGACTACGTATTGCGTTTCTCTTCAAATTATGTTTTAAGGTAATAGCAAATTTTTCGGCATTGTTGGGTTTAAAAAGCTTCATGTTACAAAGGTTTAGCTCTTGGAAATAAGAAAAAACTCACCCCTCTTTCATTATAAAATTGCACGACGTACCTACATGTTAGGACGGCGGGTCACACTTGACTCCGTTCAAAGGGCCTAAACATGGGCTTGGCGATTAGCTAGCTTACCTAGGCATGGCCCGATATAATGTTTAGACTAGTTTGAGAAGGGCATTTGCGCCCCGGCCAACCCCGACCTATACCATAAGTTTGTATAAAAAAAGTTATGGATAAGCGCAATGGAAGTCATAAAACTTGTTACAAAAATGTAATTGAGTTCAGAAACTTTCAAAAAGAGCAATCAAGTCATAAAACTTGTTGCGAAAGTGCAGTAAGGTCTTAAATTTTGAAAAAAAATGCAATTACGTCCTAAAACTTGTCACGAAAGCGCAATTGAGTCTAATTTGACCAATTTGATAAGTTTTAGGACTTAGTTGCATTTTTGTGACGAGTTTTAGAACTTCCAATACACTTATCCCAAAAAGTTATACAATGGACGGGTTTAGCTGAAAATCTAGGCACAACTTCAAGGCCCGGCCTAGACCTGCCCAGCGATCACCACGATGCCCAACACCCCGGCCTTTCATAGATTTATCAGCAAAAATGGACCATCAATTTCTTCTGGTTCACTATCCCGACGGAGATTATTTATCAATTAACGAGACATAGTATCTTCATTAAGATTTCTTCTGCTTCTTTTCTTTTGTTTTTTTTTCCTGGGATCAGATTATAACAAGAAGAATGTTGTCTTTATCATCCTCTCATCAAATCTTTCACTATCGATTTACTTTCGCAGCCTTCAAAGAGGTGCAAAAGGCTTGCTGTGGCAACGGGACACTGAACACAGAATCGGCATGCTCCCCGACGGCCCGAGTGTGCCGGAACCGGGAGGACTACTTGTTCTGGGACCAGTTCCATCCAACTCAGGCTGCTGCCAAGCTGGCCGCAGCGGCTCTCTTCGCCGGTTCGCCCCCTCTCGTGGCCCCCCTCAATTTCAGCTCCGTCGCTCGGATTTATGTCTAATTAAAATGAATCATGACATTTCTGCCAATGTATCATCCAAGTGGAGTCCTGTCTGTATTAAGATGGGGCAGCAACTTTCCATCTGATTAACAAAGTTTCGAGTTTTATAGTTCACGTTGCTTTCACGAATGATTCTGGACCATGAACAGTGGCCTTGAGTGCATGTTATCAAGATCCTAATCATCTGTGCAGATCGGAACACATCTCGCCGGAATGATCCTGTTAAGTTCAGGCTCTTGATTTGGTTCGAGCCACAAAATCCTAAAAAATTACTGACCATACTAACTTGAAATCTTTCGGATCCCGATCCATGGTGGCTCCAAAGACCGAAAGCTATCCATGCAGTTGATCGGGTGCGCCTTTTGCGACCAATCCGTGTATCAGACCCGGCTTAGGTGGGACTTATGACCAGGCAATGCCCTAGTAAGAAAGACTAGGATTTGAGGCCCTTACGATAGCTCGGAGATGTTTGACATGCATGAAAGTTGGTTCGGATACATCCCGACCGCTTCATAAAAGATAAACTACGTTACTGTTCTACGGGGGACGCATTATATTAAGTTCAACTTAGACTACAGTTTGCCGATTCCAATAATTCCCGCCATTTTGATCCACCTTTTCTAAAATGGTTTATAAAAGTTAAACCTATCTTTAATCAACATCTCGATGTCATCAAGATTACACAGATGCGTAAGAGAATAATTTACCCATGATCAATTAGCTGCATTTCCTTCCTTTTCTGCCACAGCGTACCCTATGGGAAATAACTAAGTCTATCCATCAATCTAGGGTTTTCCACCAAAATCTATTTTAAGGAAAGATCATGGTCTTTTCCTTTTGGATTTTTCCACGTAGATATATACTCAAATCCTATGAATTTTACTAGGATGCCTTGTCCTTTTTGTATCTTCCACGAGCATAATAACTTATCGGGTTTGATTAGAGCATGGAATTTGCAATAGTTGTGCTTAACATATGTTAAAATATGTCTCGAGTTTGAACCTAAAGCGAAAATCTAAATATTTCAAATTGAATATTTTGCGGACGACTGAAATCGAGCAAAAGGAAATATTGGAAATTTGCTTTCCTAATATGCAAGAGTTGGCAGCAAACAAAAGAAAAGGAAAATAGAAAGAATAAAATATTCTTTCCTAATTCCTGTAGGAGTCACGGTCAACAAAGGAAATTCCAAGCCATGTTTGGTTGACCGAATCATCCAGATTTCCAACTCCAATCCTAAGTCGGCCACATCCTCTTCCTGACTACACATATAAAAGCGGATTGTGGGTTTCGGAGCGCAGTCATTGATGAAGAGCGGCGTGGTTCCCTTGAAGTCCATGTCCAGAACGAAGAATTGATTCTTGAAGCGTCGTGTTCAATCGAGCGCTTGGTGTGGGTTTTCTTCGTGGAATTACACCAAGAGTTCAAGTATTTATAGCGATTAAATCTTGTGGTAAGATTTGTGTACAATTACTTGGCGAGATTGAGAGATTATTTCGTGAAGAATTGTGGGCTAAACACTACGTGAGTTATTGGGTGTAATTGGAGCTTGGGAAACACTTAGGGTGTTTGAGTGACTCGAGTGTGGTTGTATCGCTTGATTTATAGTGAAATTTCGTGCTGCTCTCCCCATGGACGTAGGTCACTACGACCAAACCACGTAAATCTGGTGTCCGATTTATTTTCTTATTTTGTCAATTTTATTGTTCGATCGCTTGGCTTCCGTAACAATTGGTATCAGAGCTAGACTTGGTTGAGTTGAAGCGAATCGATGGCGACAGAAGAAGGAAAAGTGAGAATCGACAAATTGGATGGGAAAGATTTTGGTTTCTGAAAGATGCAGATTGAGGATAATCTATATCAGATGAAACGACACTTGCCCTTGTCTGGGGAGAAGCCAGAGACGATGAAGCAAGCTGATTGGGAATTGCTGGATAGACGAGCTTTGGGTGTTATTCGGTTGACGTTGGCTCGTAATGTCGCGTTTAACATCGTGAATGAGAAGACCACTGCGGGTTTGATGAAAGCCCTGTAAGACATGTACGAGAAGCCCTCAGCGATCAACAAAGTTTATTTGATGCGACGTCTGTTTAATTTGAAGATGAGCGAAGGTGCGTCAGTTGCTGATCATATTAATGAATTCAATGTGATCGTTAGTCAATTGAGTTCAGTTGAGATTAACTTTGAAGATGAGGTACGTGCTTTGATTCTATTATCCTCATTGCCTGATAGTTGGAATACTACTGTTACTGCTGTTAGTAATTCCTCTGGGTCAACAAGTTTGACGTTTGATGGTGTTCTAGATTTAATTCTGAGTAAGGACATCCGTAGAAGAGAATCTGGCGAACATGTATCAGCTGCTTTAGTAGGTGAAAGAAGAGGAAGAACTAGTACACGTGTTAGCAAGAGTAGTATGAACTCGAATAGACGAAATCAGTCTAGGGCTGGTGATGTCGTCTGTTGGAGCCGTGGCAAGAGGAGGCATATTAGAAGGGATTGCCTCAAGCTGAAAAACGATAAGGGTAAGGGAATTAGAGTTGATCATGCGGATGATGTTGCAGCTATAGCATACAGTAATTCGGCTAATGCTGATTAGTCTTGTCTGTCACTGATGATTCGTCGTTTGGCGGATGGATTATGGATTCCGGTTATTCTTTTCACGCTACACCAAATAGGAACTGGTTTACTACATATCAGTGCACGGATAGTAGTAAAGTGCAGTTGGGGAACAACACTGAATGCGATGTTATAGGTGTTGGTGACGTTAGAATCAGAATGCATGATGGTATTGTGTGGACATTGACTGGAGCGAGGCATGTTCCAGAGTTGAAGAAAAATCTGATTTCCTTGAGTGCCCTGGATTCAGTTGGGTGTCGGCATTCTTCAGAATGTGGACTTCTGAAAGTTGTTCGAAGTGCCTTGGTGATAATGAAAGGAATCAAGCATAATAGCCTGTATGAGCTTCAAGGTGAGACAGTGACGGAATTCGCTGCGGAGACGTTGGATGCATCCGTTCGAGAATCTGAATTGTGGCATATGCGTTTGGGGCACATTAGCGAGAGAAGCCTGAAGGTTCTAAGTGAAAGGAATTTGCTATGTGGCTATGTTGCTGACGAATTGAATGTATGCAGGTGTTGTGATTTAGATCAACAGCGGAAAGTGCAATTCAGTGCGATTGTCAGAGAAACCACGGAAATTGCAAAATTGATTCACTTGGATGTTCGCAGGTTGTCGCGGTTTCCTTCAAGAAAGAGTGCAAAATTTATGCTTACAGTTGTTGATGACTACTCGAGGAAGATTTGGGTGTTTGTGCTTAGGCACAAGTTTGATGCTATTGTCAGGATCAAATAGTTGAGAGGTTTGATAAAAAAGGAGACTGGTAAGAAGATTAAGCATGTGCGGACTGACAATAGTATGGAGTTTTGCTCGAAGCTGTTAAACGAATTCTGCATGAAGGAAGGCATAGTGAAACACCGCACTAATGCCAATGAACCACAACAGGTTGCAGAGTTGATGAGCAAAACATTACTAGAGACGGCCCATAAAATGATCTCTAGTGCTGGTATGGCTAGGAGATTCCTGGCGGATGCGCTTAGTACGGCAAGCTACCTGAAGAATAGATCCCCATCGACTGCGATTGGATGTCGGACTCCCGAAAAAGGGCAAAAGTACACTAGAAGTGCCATAACTTGTGTACGGCGATCACTTTGGTGCCATAACTTTTTTTCGGATCACTTTGGTGCCAAGTCGGAGGAAAATCGATCACTTTAGTGACTCCGGCCAAAATTCCGGCAAAAAAGCTGACCTGACATTTATACTAAAAAAATGGTCTGACTTGTACACGGTGAAAATTCGGTGGCTTTTTTTCGAATTTTTTAATTAAAAAAAAAAAAGTTGCAGCAGCGGCGATGGAGCCCTCGCCGCTGCTACCGCCAACCCACCACCGCCGGGAAGGGCTGGCGGTGGTGGGCGCAGTGGTCGGCGAGGGTCGCTAGCCCTTGGCCGGGGACCGGCGACCCTCGCCGAGCCCAGGGAGGACCGGATCCGGCGACCCTCGCCGAGCCCAGCGAGGGCCGGATCCGGCGAGGCTAGACCTCGCCGTCGCGACCCGCGACGGCGAGGTCTTGCCTCGCCGGACAGGCGAGCCAAACCTCGCCGTCGCGACCCGGCGACGGCGAGGTCCGGCCTCGCCTTTTGCGGGCGAGGCGAGACCTCGCCATCGCCTCGGGTCGCGACGGCGAGGCACGGCCTCGCCTTCACCGGGCGAGGCGAGACCTCGCCGTCGCCCGGGTCGCGACGGCGCAGGCGTGGCCTCACCTTCGCTGGGCGAGGCAAGACCTTGCCGTCGCCTGGATCGCGACGGCGAGGTCTCGCCTCTCCCAGCGTCCGGCGAGGCGAGACCTCGCCGTCGCGACTCAGGCGACGGCGTGGTTTGGCCTCGCCTTTGCTGGGTGAGGCGAGACCTCGCCGTCACCTAGGTCGCGACGGCGAGGTCTCGCCTCGCCGGATCCGGCCCTCGCTGGGCTTGGTGAGGGTCGCTGGGCCTCGGCCAGGGGCCAGCGACCCTCGCCGACCACTGCGCCCAGCACCGCCGGCCCTTCCCGGCGGTGGTAGGTTGGCAGTAGCAGCGGCAAGGGCTCCCTCAACGCTGCTGCAGGTTTTTTTTTTTTTAATTTAATATAATTTTTTTTAAAAAAGTACACGTCAGTGGGCTAAACGGCGTCGTTTTTGGTTTTTAATGCTGACTGGACCTCTCTGGCGAGCCGTGGACCTCTCCGGCGAGCCGTGTCAACGCCACATCGGATTTCCGGCGAACCGCGTCAGCATTGGCACTAAAGTGATCGATTTTCAAAAAAGTTGGCACCAAAGTGATCCGAAAAAAAGTTATGGCACCAAAGTGATCGCCGTACACAAGTTATGGCATTTTCTAGTGTACTTTTGCCCCCGAAAAAGTGTGGTCAGGTAACGTTGCTGATTATTCTGTTCTTAGAATATTTGGTTGCCCATGTTATGTTCGAGTTAGTGATGGTAAGCTCGATGGAAGGGCAATGAAGTGCATGTTCCTAGGTTATGCACAAGGTGAGCGGGGCTATAAGTTGTGGTGCCCGGAATTAAATTCACCTATTATCTGTAGAGAAGTTACATTTGACGAGTCTCCAGTATTTCTGGCTAGGAGTGTTTATAGTAGTGTTTATACAGATTTGAACGGTGTTCAGCTTGAGGTTGAGTTGCAACCAGAAACTCTTGAGGTAACGAGTACTAGCGAAGTAATCGACACGGATGGTGCCTGTAGCGAGGTGGAGCCTATAGAATCAACAGTTGCTATAACTGCTGAACTTGACAAAATGCATATTCGGTCTCCTCGTAGATACGGATACAACGATGGTTTTGCTTTATCTGCGGTTAAGGAGATTGTATCGAAAAATCCTTGTGGAGCAGTTAAAGGTGCATGTGGAGTTGGTGTTCTGATGAGGTCCACGGCTATGGCGAAGTTCAAGCGATGCTTGGACTTGGAAGACGTCTGTGGCGATTGAGCACATTGGGGCTGTAGGAGAGTAGTAGCGAAATTCGGATTCTATCAAAGCGATTGTGATTTGGCTCAAACGTCGAGCCAATGTGGAGATTGTTAAAATATGTCTCGAGTTTGAGCATAAAGCGAAAATCTAAATATTTCAAATTGGATATTTCGCGGACGTCCGAAATCGAGCAAAAGGAAATATTGGAAATTTGCTTTCCTAATATGCAAGAGTTGGCAGCAAACAAAAGAAAAGGAAAATAGAAAGAATAAAATATTCTTTCCTAATTCCTGTAGGAGTCACGGTCAACAAAGGAAATTCCAAGCCATGCTTGGTTGACCGAATCATCCAGATTTCCAAATCCAATTCTGAGTCGGCCACATCCTCTTCCTGACTATACATATAAAAGCGGATTGTGGGTTTCGGAGCGCAGTCATTGATGAAGAAAGGCGTGGTTCTCTTGAAGTCCATGTCCAGAACGAAGAATTGATTCTTGAAGCGTCGTGTTCAATCGAGCGCTTGGTGTGGGTTTTCTTCGTGGAATTACACCAAGAGTTCAAGTATTTATAGCGATTAAATCTTGTGGTAAGATTTGTGTACAATTACTTGGCGAGATTGAGAGATTATTTCGTGAAAAATTGTGGGCTAAACACTGCGTGAGTTATTGGGTATAATTAGAGCTTGGAAAATACTTAGAGTGTTTGAGTGACTCGAGTGTGGTTGTAATCTCCGTTGTATCGCTTGATTTATAGTGGAATTTCGTGCTGCTCTCCCCGTGGACGTAGGTTACTATGACCGAACCACGTAAATCTGGTGTCCGATTTATTTTCTTGTTCTGTCAATTTTATTGTTCGATCGCTTGGTTTCCGCAACAATATAAGTTACACGACTAATCTCCATGGCTAATGACCTTCGATCCGTAGATTTCATTAATTAGTGGTATCACAAAGCGCATTGAATCTTACGGCCAGTTGTCAGCTCTTGGTTATACCAATTACAATGAAATTTCATGACTGTGTACTAAGTATTATGTAGAAATTAAATAGGGAGGCGTGTATAATCTCAAAATTGAAATATGTAGCACCCAATTGTACTTGATTTCTCAGTCCACGTGGCATACGAAAATTAGCTGGTCCTAGACAAGACAACGTTGAATTTTTACGTACAAAGCGAATGTGGAAAGTTTCTCCTTGGCATGGGCCTATCTTCCCTGCATTTACACGTTGGTTCATTACACACGGCACGTAGACATTGGTTAGAAAAACTAGGGTTTCTCCGAAATAATCGTCAATTTTACAAAGTCGGATTTGAACTTTATCTGCTTGTTCACTTCCTAAACACCCCCTTTCTTATGTTGAAGATGCAGTGCAGATTGACGAGCCAAACCAACACTTCGATCTTTCAAGAGTCCTAAGAAACTCAAGACAATCAATGGCTGGAATGTCCTCTTCTTCATCATCTTCTCACAATAGGTACTTGCTTCTCCTCTCGGTCGTCGGCGCGCTGTTGGTCTCGGCTAGGGCGGACGACGTGCATACCGTTTTTATATTCGGAGATTCGACGGTCGACGTAGGGACTAACGATTACATACCTTCCTGGGCGAAAGCCAACTTCCGCTATAATGGGATCGATTTCCCTCACTCTATACCGACGGGGAGATTCAGTAATGGGTATAACAACGCTGACCAGATAGGTAATAATGTTATTCAATCGCAATCCATTGCGGCTTACACTACACCCAGTCTGGATTTGCCGGTTGCTCAAACAGAAAAAACCATATGATTACTAATCCGTTTTTCTATCAAATTCTTATTACTAGTGAGGCAATTGGGTTACAAGCAAAGTCCCCCACCTTTTCTAGCTCTTCTCCAAAACCTATCGACCTTTCAAAGTAATCTACTTCAAGGTGCTAACTTTGCCTCGGCCGGAGCTGGAATTCTTGATCAAACTGGAATACGAAGATATGTAAGTATCGCTCACCTTATTCTACCTCAAGATTCTGCAGGACTTTTCTGTGTTCTTGATTGTTAACCTTCGAACTAATGAGATATGGGGAAAAAACTATGATCTTCCTATGTACAGCAATATGCGATAACAATGACACAGCAAGTGCAACAATTTGCGACCGTTCAAGGCAATATCACACAGCTGCTGGGTCAAGATAAAAGCGTCGAGTTCATCGCCGAATCACTCTTCTTCATCAGTGTCGGAAACAATGACATCTTGGACCACCACCGTTCCAAGCGGACCACCGTGTCCCAGACACAGTTGATGGAAGCCATTCGGTCTAACTTCACCGTGCAATTGACGGTAGACATGGAATCAATGTGTATCGGTCCTTTCCAATTAGCTTTTCTTCCGTCAAGCTTATGCAGGCACGAGGGTGCAAACAATACAAGCTCTCGTTAAAAATAGATTTGCTATATGATGTTGAAATGATATCGGTGAAATACTACGCAGGAGCAAACAAATCATTTACGAGATCCATATGCTAACCATGCCTTTTTTCATTTTTCTCAACAATTGAATGCCAGAATTTATACAACTTGGGAGCTCGGAAATTTGGCATCATCAGCGTCCCTCCGCTCGGGTGCTGCCCTGCCGCGCGGGTCGAAAACAAGACGGAGAGATCGGGTTGCTTGACAGAGCTGAACGATTATGCTCGGGCCTTCTATTCGACGGTATCGGCCCTATTGCCAAGTCTGAGCTCACAGCTCCACGGGATGATATACTCACTCGGAGATGCATATAACATGACCTTTACCACGATGAAGGACCCCAAGGCTTTTGGTGAGCTACATTTCTAATCAGTCTATAATAGCCGAAAATTTCGATCATGTTGTTATACTCGTTGCAAAAGATCTAATGTAAGACGATCGACCTGTACTAACTATGTTTATTAAAATCCTCAATTGTTTAACTGATTAACTGTTTATATGGGGATCGAACTTGCTACCAAGTCATTTAGATATGTCAGTTCACGATGTGGTTCATGTGTAATCTGACTTTTCTGTGATACGCACGGACTTGGGCTTATAACAATGAACGGTTTCTCTAATTATTCCTCTTTAATAATCCAATCATATCATTTCAGGCTTCAAGAACATTGAAGAAGCCTGCTGTGGAAAAGGGTATCTGAACGGAGAGAAGCCTTGCTTCATCTATTACAGCCCAAACCTGTGCCTGAACCGCACAGAATACTTGTTCTGGGACCTGTACCACCCGACCGAATTCGCGTCTAAGCTAGCCGCCCTCACTCTGTTCAGTGGAAACTCGAGTTTCGTTGTGCCGATCAACTTCAGTCAGCTGGCTCGGGCCAGTCCATGAGATCGACAGATGCCGCACTCTTCTCATATTTTCTCTTCATTTCCACAAATTCAGTTGCCAATAATGAACACCCCTTTCAGGGCATTTCCAGGATCAAAGTTGCCGAATCGCGGCACCTGAAATAAACTTGTATATCTCAGCATCAGCATGTTTTTACTGCCTCCTCTTCTTCTTCAACAGCATCGTTGTCATTATTATCAATGTCAGTTTCCAGATGACCTTGCTTTTCGACGTCTAATGTTGTCAATTCCCATGAGAATTTACGAGAATGGGAAACTTATGGATTAGTGACGTGGAGTTTAACAAAAGCAAAAAGGAAACTTCTACCGAGTACTGACAACTAAGAACACACAGAACTGACTCAAGAGCTTTGTTAATCCCACGTTGGCTTGGACTTATTAGGTAAGTGAAGCAATACAGCTAAATTACGTTATAAAAGATGTGCGAGAGAGAGAAAAACGGTGCATGGACTGATAAAGAAACTATGATACATGACCTAATTATCTCAACTTAATGTTCATCTTAATCCACCGTTGAATTGCTAACCGTACAATACAATGTCTTGATTTATGTAAAATTAAATTAAACAAGCTATAAAACTATCGCATCAAACATAAATGACAAAAAAAAGTTGAGAGAGAAATATTTGATCACACCCACAGATGTGAATATACATCCAATGTCCCAAGACTATATAAATATCTTCATGTGATTGTATGACTTACATCAATAATCTCTATGAAAGTATATTAAATTTTGTAGTCAGTTGTCATCGCTCTCGGTAGAAACCAAAATGGAGAAACCACAAACTCAAAAGCATATTCATAGAAAAATACGAGACCATGAAAAGGAAAGATCATCTGATCAAGAAGGTCGCTGATGAGGAGGTATCAGATCTGGTTGTATCCATCTGCCAATGCATTTTACAGGTTGGTTGATTTTACAAAGAAGGGGCATATGCCAGAACCTTCGAAAGATTATTCTTTGTTCCAAAGTGTGCTCTATTGGGTTGAAAACTAGGGCTCTCCGCCGAAATATCTGCTTCTTCACTTCCTAACCCGTCTTATATAATAATGCAGGGTATTAAGTTTCATGAACAAAAGAGTTAACCTCCTAAAGATATGGCCGAAATGTCTTCCTCGCCGTTGCCTTCACTGTCCTTCCACATTAGCAGGAACTTTTTTCTTTTTTGGGCTGCCGGCATGATGCTCGTCTCGGCTGTGCCAGACCCTCCCGTCTTTATATTTGGAGATTCAACGGTTGATATGTTGGTACTAACAATTACATAGCTTCCACCGCGAGAGCCAACTTCCCTTATAACGGGATCGATTTCCCATATTCCCAACCTACGGGAAGATTTAGTAATGGTTATAATGGTGCTGACGAAATAGGTATATGATAACTTCCTAATTCCCCATTTGCAAACTAGAAATCCTTTCTCATTTGAAGTATACCATGCAATGGTCCTCAATTGATAAATGTGAATTCCTATTACTAGCGAAGCAGTTGGGTAACAAGCAAAGTCCACCACCTTTTCTGGCTCTTCTCCAAGACCCATCAACCTTCCAAACCAATCTACTTCAGGGTGTTAACTTTGCCTCGGCCGGTGCTGGAATTCTTGATGCCACTGGTGTTCAAACCTTTGTAATGTCATGTTAAATTCTTTTACTCCAATTTTTTAAGCTCTTCCATGCCATTTAATTTTTTCATTAAGTAAGGCACATGATCTGGCCTAGTCGATCGAAACTTGAAGTTTTATAGCTGAAGCTTGACTACATGAAGCAGTCTGCGTACTCGCAGCTGCGCGTATCGTGTGCTCCACTATTCAGAATATCAGTTTCGATCAATTAAAGCCGAGCTCGAGTAGCTAAATCACATATTCATGTTACTCAATCATCATATTCAAGTGAGCCGAGCCCGAGTCGAGCATTAACAAGAAGCTTTAATTAACGCTACCTCGTACTCAGATAAATCCTAGTTCAAGTAGTCTGAATCAATAATGGATCTTCTAATGTACAGGGCGACGTGATAACGATGGCGCAACAAGTGCAACAGTTTGCAACGGTTCAAGGCAATATCACGCAGCTCCTGGATCAGAATAAAAGCGCCGAGTTCATCGCCAAGACGCTTTTCGTCATCAGCGTCGGAAGCAACGACATCTTTGATCACTACCCTTACAAGGATACCACCGTGTCCCAGCCAGAGCTAATGGCCGCCATTCAATCTAACCACACAGCCCAACTGACGGTAGAGATCGACTCCATACCGTTACTGTTGGGTACAATTTCTACTGGTCTGTGAATTGCCTAGACCGACCTCCTGTGAATACCGAAACCTAAATTTCGTAACATTCGGATATAGAATAACTCCAAGTTGCCTGGAAAAAAAATTCTCTAAAAAATTTAGTGAGTTATTAAGGAGGAGCTAGTCACTAGATTTGTTCAACTCCATATGTTAACGACTTTGCATATTAACGGAATGGGAATCCCAGGCTTTGTACAACTTGGGAGCTCGGAAATTCGGGATCGTGAGCATCCCTCCGATCGGGTGCTGCCCCTATGCGCAGCTCCAGAACTTGACTGCGAGCGGGTCGGGCTGTTTGACGGAGCTGAATGATTATGCTCGGGACTTCTATTCGACGATCTCAGCTTTATTACAAAATCTGAGTTCCCAGCTCCAAGGGATGATATACTCGCTTGGAGATGCATATACCATGACCTCTACCGTTCTGAAGGAACCTTTGGCCTTTGGTGAGCATATAACTAATATCCATTTTTATCCAATTCTTCTTATTCTTTCTTTCGTCTATTTTTTAATTAACCGATTTGTTCTGAGTTCGTCTTTGATCTTATGTTGCAATTAGGCATCGAGAACATAGAAGACGCATGCTGCGGAAGTGGCCCATTGAATGCGGAGAAGCCATGCAACATCGCGGACAGCCCCAACCTGTGCCCGAATCACGATAAATACTTGTTCTGGGACTCGAACCACTCGACTCAGTACGCGGCCCACCTAGCCGCCATCACTCTGTTCACCGGGGACCTGAGTTTCGTAGCGCCGATGAATTTCAGCCTGTTGGTCCAGGCCAGCGCATGAGGTCGACATATGCGATGCACTCATATCCTCTCTTCGTTCCAAAACAACAAAACAACTTACGTTTTCTTTGGATCGTTATTTCGGCTGCCAATAATAAACACCCTCCTTAGCCTGTTTCCGGGAACGACCCTCGCTGGATTCCCGGATCGGACGAGCTATAACTGCTGTTGCAAAAGCATTTGTCCTTGTGGACACACCAATAAATTCCCCCTCGAATTCATCATAGTTTGTTCCCCTCTTCAATGTTGATTTCTAGACGATGTTGGATATTCTCTGGCGACTAATCTCGCCGATTCCCATGAAAATGACAATGAGAAACCTCTGATTAAAGAGTTTGTGCGAGTCCCACGTCGATAGGACGAGAACAAACGAAGCGATATGTACTAATAAAATGCTAAAAGTCAATTTAGTAATTCAATTGAACAAACTATCAAACTACCGCATCAAGCAAAAACTTACGGTAATATTCTCTGTGACTTCTTGAAGGCTAATTCACTATACTATGTCAAGTGAATAGAGCTTTCAAGTTCATATACAACAATTTTATCATTCGACGACAGAAAGAAAGAAACTGATCGCCCTTGAATTCCTCCTAGGAAGCTAAACTAATGTCCACGTGGGAAAATTGTCCAAAAAATCCTAAGCATATTGTATGGCGGCCTATTCAGTTCTAAACCTTTCAATTGTGCCAATTTAGTTTTAAACCTTTTGACCACTTACTAATTTAGTCCTAAATATTTCAATTGTACCAATTTAATCCTAAACTTTTTGATGATTTGCCAATTTAATCCTAAATCTTTTAATGATTTATCAATTTAATCCTTCCGATCAATTTTGGCCGATTATCGCTGATGTGACAGTCAAGTAGCGCTGGCAGTCCTACGTGGCACGGCTGGCGCTGACGTAAACAATTTTTACAACTTTTTCTTTCTTTCAATTCCTTTTTTTTCTTTTTTCTTTTTTTCTAATCTTTTCCTTTTTCTTTTTTCTTTTTTCTTTTTCCCTTTTCCTCTCCGCCGGCCAATGCCAGGCCTTGTTGATAGCTGATGGAGGTCACCAACCTCAGGCGAGGGCTGCACTCGTGGGCCTAGTGAGGGCCACTCTCCCTAGCTTGGCGTGGGCCAACTTTGCCAGCCTTGGACAAGGGCGAGTGCTGCCCTCGCCAAATCTGGCAAGGGCGATGCCAGCCTAGGTGGGGGCCGGCCTCACTAGCCCAAACGAGGGTCGCCCCCTCGCCTAAGGCTAGCAACCTCCATGAGCATCAATGAGGTTGTAGGGAGTCCGTTAGTAGGGGTGAGCATAAGGAATCGCCTAGACCAGCCGGTTTTGGGTGATTCTGAGGGACACCGGTCCGGTTCTTTGTTTCATGTGTGGAATTGTCCACCTAGACCAGACCGATTTTTTTTAATATTTTACAGATATGTAAAAACTTAAAAGCCCTAATGTGTCGAACACAAACCCATGGTCTGACCAATCATCACATTTCTACTCTCTCACATGCACGACTCACGTTTTGTCGCTCCCTCTTTCACAACACAAGCCCTAATCTCAATCACTCTCACTCTCACACTTTGTCGCTCGCCTCCCTCTCGCTCAACTCTCGCCTTCCTCTCTGAGCGACTCTCACCTAAAGAGTCTCTTTGTTTCACCTTGTTTCGCGGTTAATGCATCCGAGAAGCTCAAAGCTTTCATTCGAAGCCTTTTTGCGGCACCGACCATCGTAGATAAAAGTTTCTGAGGTCAAGATCTCCTATCTAATCTGATCCTCACTCGTGGCCAAAGACTACACGTCAAAAGTACGAACCTTCTTACTGTCTCGGTGAATTAAAACATGATGTTTAAGACTGATGTAATGAGAGTCGAGCAATGATTATGGATCTATTCATGGTTTATATACATTGTTGGTGTCACTGAGATTTGTTTGGATTGGAATTGGAGCATAAATGATGACTATGTGTTCTATGTTGGAATTGTTTACTATGTGTTCGTAAAAGTGCCTCAGTAAAATTGTGAGTATATTGGTCCACCTGGGAGTCGGACCGGACTGGTCGGTTCGGTTCTAGGATGGGGTGATCCGGTTCCCGATTTTGAAAATTGGGAATTGGCCCCTCCAGTCCGGTTCTCGGTTTCCGAGTGGAAACCAGATTGCTCGGGAACTGATCACCCCTATACGTTAGCGCTGGCCGTGCCATGTAAGATGGCAAGCGCTGATTAGATCGCCACGTCAACGATTTCCGGCCAAAATTGGCCAGATGACTAAATTGGCAAATCGTTAAAATGTTTATGACTAAATTGGAAATCATCAAAAGGTTTAGGACTAAATTGGCAAATTATCAAAAGGTTTAGAACTAAATTAACAAAATGAAGAGGTTTAGGACTGAATTAACAGCTATATAATAGGTTTAAGACTTTCTAGGCAATTTTCCCGTGTTTGCGTCCATCAAGTTCTACACAACACTGATTTTGAGTCCCAGAACTAACCAACGTCACATTGATTGTTCCCATGGCAAGAGCAGATCTAGGGTTTGTAAGCAACCCTAAGACACATAGGAATTCTTATATAGGAATTTATAAAAGTGGATTAACTTCCTATGGCAAGAAACCCAAGTTGGTTTGCTACCAAAATCTCTGCGAGGAAAATGCATGGTCTTTTCCTTTGGGAATTTTCACGAAAACATACAAATATAAATCCTAGGAAGGTACTAAGATTCTGTCCTTATAATTCCATCCACGAAGTTAAACAACATTTTTAGCGCTTGGAATTTGCAATAAGTGTGCCTCATCATAATTAAAACGCGACTAATCTCCGGGGACTATAATCTTTTAATCTATGTCGTTTTCATTTGGTTGTTCACAAGGTATAGTATATTTTGTGGCGGCCAGTTGTCATCTCTCTCGGTAAAAACCAAAATGGAGATACCACAGACAGAGAAACGCATCATAGAAAGTTACGAGACCATGAGAAGGAAAAAGTTATCTGATCCTGAAGGTCAATGATATGACGAGCGATTAGGTCTTGGTACATCTATCTTCCAATCCAATTTTTACATGTCGGTTCACTGGACAAAGAAAGGGCATATGCTAGATCGTTGGAGATGTCATTTTTTGTTCTCTAGTGTGTTATGTTCTGTTTGAAACTAGGGCTCTCCGCCGAATTAATAGTAGTATAAATTTTTATTTTGTTGTGTTTTGGGCAGTTTCAACCAGGTTGGATTTGGAACTTTACTTGCTTGTTCACTTCCTAACCTACTACTATAATACTGGAGGGTATCATGAAACAAAACCCATCATCACTCGATCTCTCAAGAGTCGAGAAACTCGAGAGTTTGCATCCTAGAAACATGGCTGAAGCGTCTTCCCCATTGTTGTCTTCACTGTCTTCTCACCATAATAGGAACTTGCTTATTTTTTGTGCTGTCAGTATGATGCTCGTCTCGGCTTTGGCGGACGACTTGCCTCCCGTCTTTATGTTTGGGGATTCGACGTTCGACGTGGGGACTAACAATTACATACCTTCCGGGGCAACAGCCAACTTCTCCTATTACGGGATCGATTTCCCCTTCTCCCAGGCGACGGGGAGATTCAGTAATGGATATAACAGTGCCGATGAAATAGGTAAATTATGTTTTCCGAATTTTGTCGTAATCCATTTCATTGGTTGTTCCATTAATTCAACTAGGAATCCTTTTTCATTTGGATTTAACCATCCAATGGTCCACAAGTGATAATTATGAATTCATACTGCTAGTGAAGCAGTTGGGTTACAGGCAAAGTCCACCACCTTTTCTGGCTCTTCTCCAGGACAATTCAACCTTCCAAAGCAATCTACTTCAAGGTGTTAACTTTGCCTCAGGGGGCGCTGGAATTCTTAATACAACTGGATTTCAAACCTGGGTGAGTTTTCAAACCTATGTGAAGTCATGTCATATTCTTTTACTTCATTTGTCTGTGCTCTGCATGCCCCTTTAATCTCTTCCCCATGTAAGGAGCATTATCGAGTGGAGTCGAGTCGGGTTGCATAATTCTCTCCTGGGGCGCTCGACTTGTCTGAAAAGTTCGATCATTTCCCCCAAAAACCTCGATCAAACTTAAAGTTTTATAGCTGGAGTTTGACTAAATAAAGCGGTCCACGTACTCGAAGTTGAGCGTATCATGTGCTCCGCTATTCAAAATATTAGTTTCGATCAATTAAAGCCCGGCTCAAGTAGCTACTGGAGAGCTCAGCGAGCCAAGCCCGAGTCGAGCATCAACAGGGAGCTTTAATTAACGCTACTTTATACTCAGATAAATACCATGTCAAGTATTCAGAGAATTAAACTCTGGAACTTGCTAATGTGCAGGGTGAGGTGATATCGATGGAACAACAAGTGCAACAATTTGCGACGGTTCAGGGCAATATCACGTGGCTGCTGGGTCAAAATAACAGTGCCAAGTTCTTTGCGAGCTCGCTTTTCTTCATCAGCGTCGGCAGCAACGACATCATCGATCACTACTTTTACGACGAGGCCACCGTGTCCCAGATAGAGCTGATGGCCGAGATTCAGTCTAACTACACAGCCCATCTGACGGTAGATATCGACTCGATACTGTAACTATCGGGGACAATGTCTCCTTGTGTGAGAAAAGCCTAGACCGACCTCCAGCATATCTTGAAACTCAAATTATATTCGCATATGGCATAACTCCGAGTTGCCTGGCAAACAAATGTTGAGCATAATTTAGGGAGTTATTAAGCAATAGCTAGTCGTTCAATTTGGTTCAACTACAGGTGTTAACGTGGTTCTAATTTTTCTGGACGACTTTGCATATTGACTTGAATGGGAATGCAGGCTTTGTACAACTTGGGAGCTCGGAAGTTCGGGATCGTGAGCGTCCCTCCAATCGGGTGCTGCCCATTCGCGCTGCTCCTGAACTGGACGGAGAGTGGGCCGGGATGCTTGACGGAGCTGAATGATTATGCCCAGGCCTTCTATTCGACGATATCGGCTTTATTACAAAATCTGAGCTCACAGCTCCAAGGCATGATATACTCGCTTGGAGATGCATATACCATGACCTCCATCCTTATGGACGTTCCTGGTGTCGTTGGTGAAATGACTATCCATTTTTTACCATTTCTTCTTATTCTTTCTCTCTCGTTTTTTTTATTGTTTTTTATTAACCAATTTCCTCTGATTTCGCCTTTCATCTTATGTGCAATCAGGCATCGTGAACATAGAAGCAGCATGCTGCGGAGGCGGGCGACTGAATGCAGATGTGCCATGCAACATCACGGACAGCCCCAACCTGTGCTTGAACCGCAATGAATACTTGTTCTGGGACAAGTTCCACCCAACCCAGAACGCGGCCCGGAAAGCCGCCATCGCTCTGTTCACCGGGACACCAACGTTCGTATCGCCGATGAACTTCAGCCAGTTGGCCCAGGCCAGCGCATGAGGTCGACACATGCGATGCTCTCATCTCCTCTCTTCTTCCTTCCGAAACAATTTACTTTATGTTTTCCGTGTGGATCGTCATTTCGGCTGACGACAATAAACACCCTATTTAGCCTGTTTCCGGGAACGAACCTCGCCGAATCCCGGGATCGGATGTGCTGTAGGGTCCTATTGCGGAAGCATTGTTCTTGTGGACGCACAAATAAATTCACTTTCCCTCTTCAATGTTGATTTTCTAGACGATCTTGATATTTTAGCAGCCAGTCTCCCCGATTCCCATGAAAGCGACAATGAGAAACCTCTGATTAAGTGTTTGTGGGAGTCCCACGTTGATAGGAGGAGAGGAAGTGAAGCACAAAGTGGACTAATCAATGGTCAACTTATGTAAATATTAATTCTTGAAAGTCAATAATTCGTGAAGGAATAGAGAGGGGTGATTACTGTATAAATTCCTGTGAATATATATATATATATGATTATGTATACTACTGATCAGAGAACATAGCATTATAATTTTATGAGTGATTCAAAAATCTCTTTACTCAACAAGATTACGTTATAAAAAATGTGAGAGATAAAAAATAAAAATAAAAATAAAAAAATACCACGCATGGACTGCAAAAGAAAATATGATACATTAATTAGATTATCTTAACTTAATTTTCAGCTAAGTCCCCGACTGTTGAATCGCTAATAATACAATATAATTTCTTGATTTACAGATAATTAAACATACTATATCAGACTACATGACCAAAAAAAAATTGAGAGAGAATAAGTTGATCACACGCACTAATGCGAATATACATTGAATATCCCAATATTATATAAATATCTACATGTGATTATATAACTTACATTAATCATCTCTATGCCTTCATAAATGCTAAGTTATTATCCTATATCATGTAAATAGGATCGAGTTCATATTAAACAATTTTAGCGAAATTGACATTATCAATAATACAATATAAATGCATAGCTGCTTCTGAAACATGTTGCAAAATAGGTGAAATATAATATTAGGTCTATTGAGATTAAATAGAACTGGCGACTATATCAATAAACAATGAGCAAACGAATGACGAAAAGATCTGATAAATTGACAAATCCAATTAGAAAAAAACATTGAAAGTTGAAGACATCTATATCTGAAATCTTACTGCAAATTGCAACTTCAAGATAGATTTGATCCCTGTGCAAATAAATAAATAAGCTTAAAAAATTATATGAAAAGGAATGGACAAGAGGAAAGAAAGAGGAACAACCTTGCAAGTTACTGGTAATGAATCTAGCGATGCCATCTTGGCAGAAGTTTTAAAAACAACAGGATGTGGTTAGGGTTTTTAAGGTTTTTAAGGATGTGGTGGCGCAAGAGATCTAAGAGCCTGTTTGTCTTCCCAATCCCCCAGAGTACTCATTCTTGCTCAAACCGTATTTTAAAATAATAAACTCATTACATTTATGTCAATTCAATCCTAAATATTCTTTCTTTTTATTATTAAGGGTCGGTAACTAGGTGAGGGCTTGCTCCCTCGCACATGGAAGGCGAGGGCTTGCGACCCTTGCACACTACTGAGCAAGGGTTGCGAGGGCTCGTTGCCCTTGAAAGCCACTGGCGAAGGCAGCAAGCCCTCGCTTGCCACTGGGTGAGTGCTGCAACCCTCACCTTGCGGCTCTTGCCCAGTGGCGTGGGAGTTGCCGGGCCTCAGCCAGTCCCTCGCCGGCCCATAACAATAAAAGAAAGGACAAAAAAGAAGGAAAAGATTCAAGAAAATTCAAAAAAATTCAAAAAAATTTCACGTCAACTTCGGCCAGGCCACATAGGATGGCCACATCCACATCATCAATTTCCGGCCAAAATTGGCCGAATGGACTTTATTGACAAATTATCAAAAAGTTTAGGATTAAATTAGCCAAATTAAAAGATTTAGGATTTTTTTTGTAATTTTCTCTGTTAAGTTGTTATTTATGTCCAAAACTTTCTGTTGACATAAAAAAAAAATTGACTAACTTTGGTTATTATCGACAAATGGTAAGTTCGGTCGATGAGATGATAGCTTGATTAAAATGGAAGTCATCAATGAACAAAACAGCTGACAACTTGAAGGGAATCAATAACTTGACAGTAAAATCATCGATAGCAAACATTAAAGAAGATATCGACAAGGGCCTTCATTGAAAAACGAGGGTCATCAACATCCAGCTACGGCAACTTTTTTCTAAATGTTGAAGTTCGAAGGCAAAGACGACAGATCGATGCAAGCACATGATTGCCAGTTGGTTATTCCTTTGATCTCGAAAATTGTAACTTCTTTAGGATAACCATTTTCAGACGATAATGAATCATGCCTAGAATCCTGGAAAGGACAATTACTTATCAATAACTATAAATAGAATTAGAAAGTTATTTGTAGATTTAAATTTCGCAACTAATTGTAAATAACTAATAATGATAGGATACAAATACCCACGTTGTAATCTTTGCACAAGTTCGCTTAATCAATCACAGGAAAGCTGTTCTTGTAAATTTCCTTATCCCTCTGCAAATTTACATTTTCGATACCTTTTAATTTCCCGTACCATTTACATTCTTGCAATCTTTAATATCAATACTTGCAAGTTCAACTCTTTTACTTTTCAGCCGTTTACTTTTCCATTCAAAATCAACAAAGAACCATTTTCCTTAAAAATACATCAATTTCATCCAAATTATTAGATTTTCAGGACAATTTTTCAAAAGCTACTAAACATATTGCACTTTTGTCAATTCAGTCATAAACCTTTTATTTTTGCCAATTAAATCCTAAACAATTTTACGTTTTTCCCATTGAGTCCAGTCGGCCAATTTTGATCGGAAAATTGATGACGTTGACTCCAGCCGTCCTATGTGGCACGACTGATGCTAACATGGACATTTTAATAATATTTTAATATTTTTTCTTATTTTTTGTTAATTTTTTTTATTTTCTTTTGTTTGTTTGTTTTTTTTACCATCACTGGCCGCAGGCAAGGGCATCAGACCCTTATCCGAGCAAGGGTGTCGCAGCCCTCGCTGGCCACAAGCGAGGGCGCGATGAGGGCATTGACGTTGGCCAGAGGTGTAAAAAAAAAAACAAAATAAAATAAAAAAGGAAAAAAAAAGAAAAATTAATCAAATATGAAAATATTATTAAAAATATCGACATTACAGTTGTCCATGTAACGTTGGACGGTCGGCGTCCACGCCATTAATTTCCAATTAAAATTGGCCGGATGGACTCAATTGGCAAAACGTGAAGGTTTATGACTCAAAGGTCTAGAACTGAATTGACAAAAATACAATAAATTTAGAACTTTTTGAACAATTCTCTCTTAGATTTTCAGTCCTAAGATTCTAACCTTAATGTACACGAAAGTTCAAAGAGCATACAAAATTTTGTGGCCAGTTATCATGCCTCTCGGTAAAAACCAAAGAAAGGGCGTACCATACGAAAGATCTTTCTTTGTTCCCAAGTGTGCTATATTCGGTGAAAAACTAGGGCTCTCCGCCGGAACAATAAGCTGCACATATATATAGATAAATATGTCTTTATCTGCTAGTTCACTTCCTTAACCCTCTTCTATTATTGTGCAGGGTATCACGAAACAAGCACATATCATCATCACTTAAACCTCTCAAGAGTCGAGAAACTCGAAAGAGTTTTCCTAGAAACATGGCCGAAATGTCTTCCTCTTTGTTGTCTTCACCGTCTTCTCACGGAAACAGGAAGTTGCTTCTTTTTTGGGCTATCGGCATGATGCTCGTCTCGGCTTTGGCGGGCGACCCTCCTCCCGTCTTTATATTTGGAGATTCGACGGTTGACGTGGGGACCAACAATTACATACCTTCCAAGGCAAGAGCCAACTTCCGTTATAACGGGATTGATTTCTGTTAAAATATGTCTCGAGTTTAAGCCTATTGAACGAACCCGACCCGAATTGATTTTATTTGTATAAGCTTGATGCAGGAAAGTTGAAAATATAAAATTGCAGATTACGGACATTATCTACGGTGCACGAGTTGTGATTTAAGGTAGTTTCCAGATTTAAGTTGGAGTCTGCGGCTAGAAACTGGAAAGTCCAATATGGACTTTGAGTTAGACATTGACTCGGTCAATGTGTTTTGACAAAGAAAGAAAGCAACGAAAAGATTAAAAAGAAGAAAAAGAAGAAAGTTGGGTTGGTTGATCGAATCCCAGTTGGATTCTATATCCTTCTCCAACACAGTTGGTTATCTTTGATGACGATCCAAAGATTCATTAATCCCTGGCGGTGACTTATATATATACTCGAGGGTGCATGCCGTAGAGGACGCGAAGAGAAGTCTTGAAGTGCCGCGGTTGACAAGAAGATATTCTAAGCGAGTGCTTGGCATTGGGTTCATGATTTTGTTTGTGAAATTACACAAAGAGTTCAAGTGTTTATAGCGATTAAATCTTGTGATAAGATTTGTGTAAAATTCTTTCGCGAGATTGAGAGATTATTTCGTGAGGAATTGGGAGCTAAACACTGCGTGCGTTATTGGGTGTAATCGGGGCTTGGAAAACACCGAGAGTATTTGAGTGACTCGAGTGTGGTTGTAATCACCATTGTATCGCTTGATCTATAGTGGAATTCCGTGCTACTCTCCCCGTGGACGTAGGTCGCTACGACCGAACCACGTAAATCTGGTGTCCGATTTATTTTCTTATTCTGTCAAATTTATTGTTCGATCGCTTGGCTTCCGCAACAATTGGTATCAGAGCTAGACTTGGTTGAGTTGAAGCGAATCGATGGCGACAAAAGAAGGAAAAGTGAGAATCGACAGATTTGATGGGAAAGATTTTGGTTTCTGGAAGATGCAAATTGAGGATAATCTATATCAGATGAAACTACACTTGCCCTTGTCTAGGGAGAAGCCAGAGACGATGAAGCAAGCTGATTGGGAATTGCTGGATAGACGAGCTTTGGGTGTTATTCGGCTGACGTTGGCACGTAACGTCGCGTTTAACATCGTGAATGAGAAGACCACTGCGGGTTTGATGAAAGCCCTATCGGACATGTACGAGAAGCCCTCTGTGATCAACAAAGTCTATTTGATGCGACGTATGTTTAATTTGAAGATGAGCGAAGGTGCGTCAGTTGCTGATCATATTAATGAATTCAACGTGATCGTTAGTCAATTGAGTTCAGTTGATATTAACTTTGAAGATGAGGTACGTGCTTTGATTCTATTATCCTCATTGCCTGATAGTTGGAATACTACTGTTACTGCTGTTAGTAATTCCTCTGGATCGACAAGTTTGACGTTTGAGGGTGTTCGAGATTTAATTCTGAGTGAGAACATCCGTAGAAGAGAATCTGGCGAACATGTATCTGCTGCTTTAGTAGGTGAAAATAGAGGAAGAACTGGTACACGTGTTAGCAGAAATAGTATGAACTCAAATAGACGAAGTCAGTCTAGGACTGGTGGTGTTGTCTGTTGGAGTTACGGCAAGAAGGGGCATATTAGAAGGGATTGCCTTAAGCTGAAAAACGACAAAGGTAAGGGAATTAGAGTTGATCCTGCGGATGATGTTGCAGCTATAGCTGATGGTAATTCGGATAATGCCGATTATGTCTTGTCTGTCACTGATAATTCGTCGTTTGGTGGATGGATTATGGATTCTGATTGTTCTTTTCACGCTACACCAAACAGGAACTGGTTTACTACTTATCAATGCACGAATAGTAGTAAAGTGCAGTTGGGGAACAACGCTGAATGCGATGTTGTAGGTGTTGGTGATGTTAGAATCAGAATGCATGATGGTATTGTGTGGACATTGACTGGAGTGAGGCATGTTCCAGAGTTGAAGAAAAATCTGATTTCCTTGAGTGCCCTAGATTCAGCTGGGTACCGGTATTCTTCATAATGTGGAGTTCTGAAAGTTCTTCAAGGTGCCATGGTGATAATGAAAGGAATCAAGCATAGTGGCCTGTATGAGCTTCAAGGTGAGACAGTGACGGAATTCGCTACGGAGACGTCGGATGCATCTGTTCGAGAGTTTGAATTGTGGCATATGCGTTTGGGGCACATTAGTGAGAGAAGCCTGAAGGTTCTAAGTGAAAGGAATTTGCTATGCGGTTATGTGGCTAACGAACTGAATGTATCCAGGTGCTGTGATTTAGATCAACGGCGGAAAGTGCAGTTTAGTACGGTTGTCAGAGAAACCACGGATATTGCAGAATTAATTCACTTGGATGTTCGCAGGTTGTCGCGATTTCCTTCGAGGAAGAGTGCCAGATTTATGCTAACAGTTGTTGATGACTACTCGAGGAAGACTTGGGTGTTTGTGCTAAGGCACAAGTTTGATGCTGTTGTCAGGATCAGGCAGTTAAAAGCTTTGATCGAAAAGGAGACTGGTAAAACGATCAAGCAGGTGCGGACTGACAGTAGTATGGAGTTTTGCTCGAAGCTGTTAAACGAATTCTGCATGAAGGAAGGCATAGTGAAACACCGCACTAGTGCCAATAAACCACAACAGGTTGCGGAGTTGATGAGCAAAATATTACTAGAGACGGCCCATAAAATGCTCTCTAGTGCTGGTATGGCTAGGAGATTCCTGGCGGATGCGCTTAGTACGGCGAGCTACCTGAAGAATAGATCCCCATCGACTGCGATTGAATGTCGGACTCCTGAAGAAGTGTGGTCAGGTAACGTTGCTGATTATTCTATTATTAGAATATTTGGTTGTCCATGTTATGTACGAGTTAGTGATGGTAAGCTTGATGGAAGGACACGAAAGTGCATGTTCCTAGGTTATGCACAAGGTGAGCGGGGCTATAAGTTGTGGTGCTCGGAATTAAATTCACCTGTTGTCAGCAGAGAAGTTACATTGACGAGTCTCCGGTACTTCTAGCTAGGAGTATTAATAGCAGTGTTTATACGGATCTGGACGGTGTTCAGCTTGAGGTGGAGTTGCAACCAGAAACTCCTGAGGTAGCGGGTACTAGCGAAATAATCGACACGGATGGTGCTTATAGCGAGGTGGAGCCTATTGAGCCAACGGTTGCTATAACTGCTGATATTGACAAGGTGCGTATTCGGTCTCCTTATAGATATGGATGCAACGATGATTTTGCTTTATCTGCGATTGAGGAGGTTGTGTCGGAAAATCTTTGTGGAGCGGTTAAAGGTGCATGTGGAGTTGGTATTCTAATGAGGTCCACGGCTATGACGAAATTCAAGCGAGGCTTGGACTTGAAAGACGTCTGTGGCAGTTGAGCCCATTTGGGCTATGGGAGAGTAGTAGCGAAATTCAGATTCTATCAAAGCGATTTTAACTTGACTCAAACGTCGAGCCAAGGTGGAAATTGTTAAAATATGTCTCGAGTTTAAGCCTATTGAACGAACCCGACCCGAATTGATTTTATTTGTATAAGCTTGATGCAGGAAAGTTGAAAATATAAAATTGCAGATTTCGGACATTATCTACAGTGCACGAGTTGTGATTTAAGGTAGTTTCCAGATTTAAGTTGGAGTCTGCAGCTAGAAACTGGAAAGTCCAATATGGACTTTGAGTTAGACATTGACTCGGTCAATGTGTCAGACAAAGAAAGAAAGCAACGAAAAGATTAAAAAGAAGAAAAAGAAGAAAGTTGGGTTGGTTGACCGAATCCCAGTTGGATTCTATTTCCTTCTCCAACACAGTTGGTTATCTTTGATGACGATCCAAAGATTCATTAATCCCTGGCGGTGATTTATATATATACTCGAGGGTGCATGCCGTAGAGGACGCGAAGAGAAGTCTTGAAGTGCCGCGGTTGACAAGAAGATATTCTAAGCGAGTGCTTGGCATTGAGTTCGCGATTTTGTTCGTGAAATTACACAAAGAGTTCAAGTGTTTGTAGCGATTAAATCTTGTGATAAGATTTGTGTAAAATTCCTTCGCGAGATTGAGAGATTATTTCGTGAGGAATTGGGAGCTAAACACTGCGTGCGTTATTGGGTGTAATTGGGGTTTGGAAAACACCGAGAGTGTTTGAGTGACTCGAGTGTGGTTGTAATCTCCGTTGTATCGCTTGATCTATAGTGGAATTCCGTGCTGCTCTCCCCGTGGACGTAGGTCACTACGACCGAACCACGTAAATCTGGTGTCCGATTTATTTTCTTATTCTGTCAAATTTATTGTTCGATCGCTTGGCTTCCGCAACAATTTCCCCTACGGAAAATATACGGGAAGATTCAGTAATGGATATAACAGTGCCGACTTAATAGGTAAACAGTATTTCCCTAATTCCATGGTAATCCATTTCGTTGGTTCTTCCATTAATTCAAGTAGGAATCCTTTTTCATTTGAATTTAACCCTTTAATGGTCCACAATTGATAATTTTGAATTCATATTGCTAGTGAAGCAGTTGGGTTACAAGGAAAGTCCACCTCCTTTTCTGGCTCTTCTCCAAGACCCATCAACCTTCCAAACCAATCTACTTCAAGGTGTTAACTTCGCCTCAGGCGGCGCTGGAATTCTTGATGCAACTGGAAATCAAACCTGGGTGCGTTTTCAAACCTATTCGAAGTCATGTTAAATTCTATAACTCCATTTCTTGAGCTCTTCCACGCCCTTTTAATTTCTTCCCCGTGGAAGGAGCATAATCGAGCCCAGTCAAAGTCGCATAGTTCACTACTGGAGAGCTCGACTTGTCTGAAAAGTTCAGTCGTTTCCCCCTAAAACTCGTTCGAACTTGAAGTTTTATAGCTGGAGCTTCACTAAATATAGCGGTCCGCATACTTGAAGCTGCGTCGTTTGTGTGCTGCCCTATTCAAAATATTAGTTTCAATCAATTAAAGCCGAGCCCGAGTCGAGCATCAACGGGGAGCTTTAATTGACGCTATCTCATGCTCAGATAAATCCTAGTTCAAGCAGTCAGAATTAAACTATGTATCTTCCTAATGTACAGGGTGACGTGATAACGATGACGCAACAAGTGCAACAATTTGCGACGGTCCAGGGCAACATCACACAGCTACTCGGTAACAAAAGTGCTGATTTCTTTGCCCACTCGCTCTTCTTCATCAGCATCGGAAGCAACGACATCTTCGATCATCACCGGTACAACGAGACCACCATGTCCCGGCTAGAGCTGATGGCCACCCTTCAGTCTAAGTTCACAGACCAACTGACGGTAGATACCGACTCGATACTGTTACTATAGGAGACAATTTCTCCTAGCCCAAGAAAAGCCTAGACCGACGACCCCTAGCGGATCTTGAAACTTAAATTTCGTGACATTCACATCCAGAATAACTCCGAGTTTCCTGGAAAAAAAATGTTCAGAATTATTTATTGAGTCATAATAAAGCAGGAGCTAGTCATTTTAATTTGTTCAGCTGCAAATGTTAACGACTTGGCATATTTGTGGACTGGGAATGCCAGGCTTTGTACAACTTGGGAGCTCGGAAATTCGGCATCGTGAGCGTCCCTCCGATCGGGTGCTGCCCATACGCACGGCTCCAGAACACAACGAAGAGCGAGTTGGGCTGTTTGACAGAGCTGAACGATTATGCTCAGGCCTTCTATTCGATGATCTCGGATTTATTAAAAGATCTGAGCTCACAGCTCCAAGGCATGAAATACTCGCTTGGAGATGGATATAAAATGACCTATGACCTTATAAGCGATCCTGGTGTCTTTGGTGAGCCTATAATGACTATCCATTTTCAACCAATTGCTCTCATTCTTTCTTTTTTTTCCCTTTATTTTTTTGCTTTGTTTAGATTTGCCAATTTCTTATGATTTCATCTTTAATCTTTTGTGCAATTAGGCATTAAGAACGCTGAAGCAGCATGCTGCGGAAATGGGACATTGAATGCAGAGCAGCCATGCGACATCAAGTATAGCCCCAACCCGTGCCCCAACCGCCTTGAATACTTGTTCTGGGACTTTTTCCATCCGACCCAGCGAGTGTCCCAACTAGCTGCCGTCACTCTGTTCACCGGAAAGCAGGATTTCGTATCGCCGATGAACTTCAGCCAGTTGGCCCAGGCCAGCGCATGAGATCGACATATGTGATGCTCTCATCTTCTCCTTTCGTCCCGAGACAATTAACTTTTCCGTGCACTGTTATTTCGCCTGCTAATAATGAACACCCTCTTCAGCCCGTTTCCAGGAGAACCTGGCCGAATCCCGGGGATAGGATAAGCTGTACACAGCGATTGCAAAATAAATTCATTTTGCCTCTTCAATGTTGATTTCTAGACGATCTTGATATGTTAAAGACTAATCTCGCCGATTCCTATGAAAGCGAGAATGAGAAACTTCCCATTAGGGATGTCAATGGAGTCTAAATAAGAAAAGAACAGAGCTGGCTGATACTAAAAGCCACTCAACCATCTTTTTCTTTGCCGCTGTATACTCATTCTTCTTATTCAGTCGAGTTGATCAAATATCTGGATTCACCTGTCTATTTATACTTCTGCAAGCTATTCTTCTCGAGATGGTTGAGGTGAAATTGAGTCAAACTACTGGCAAAAAGTTTGAGTTTGGCTCAATTACAAAAAATTGACCCGCCGGACAATTCGAATTACTCCAGTATCTTGTTGAGTTGAGCTTGAGCTTGCAAGTACTCGGCGCGATAGGCTAGCGAGCTAATTAGGCTTGATCGAACTTCTATTTTTGTAGCCTTTCGGATATTCAATAGTTATTCCTTAAAATTACATAGCATGTCCGCATATCTATGAATGCAAGGAAAATATCTGGGCTTATTAAGCTTGAGATCTTCTTCATTTGAACTGAGTAGAAATTACAATCTTCTTGAATCATATTCAGTTCAAGTTACTGTAGAAACCTCGAAAACTTTTGTACTGTTTGGCAGACTATGTTAATGTCATGAACAGCTTTTAGTTTATTCTGGGACTGTGATTGTGTACTGTAGGACTCCCGAAGAATTCAGTGCTGGTCATGCATCCGGAGCTATTAACATCCCTTAAATGTGCAGAATTGGATCAGGTTTTCAATTTTATTTGCTTAAAAGAAACCAAGTTCGTTTCATTTTGTGTTTGAGACGCTTTTGGTGACCTGCTATTATCAGTTGATCACGCAGACTACTAGATCTTTTAAGCAGTTTCTGCAGAATTACTAATGATGGATCTTTCTATTCCTTAGTTTGAGGTTGAATTAATATGACTGAATTTGCCTTTCTTTCTCATGTTTTGGTAACAAATCTCTGACTCTGCTTGTCATGATTTCTGCTTAATTACGTAGGGATGACAAAGAACGCCAGCTTTATCGAGAAAGCCTCGACTCATTTCAAAAAGGATGGCGAAATTATCATTGTATGTCACCGGACTTGGTTGTACTTGTAGTCATTCCTGATGACTCTCAGGATCGCGTTTGCTATGTTATTGTATTTTCTGGACTCTGTTTGGGTGATTGAACGCGTAACGTTTTACAGGGTTGCCAGAGTGGGAAACGATCAATGATGGCTGCGAAAGATCTACTTGCTGTGGTAAGCAAACGTGTCTTTCGAAATGTTCAAATACGCTTAGAGTGATGGATGGTTCAAACGAATTCTGCTATAGCCGTGACAAGGGTCACATGAGAAACAAATGAATGTTCGGCGATTTAAGGAAGAACTGGTGTTCAATGTGGGCAATTCTTAGCATTAGCCATATCAATCAATAGAATACTTCCTCAAAAAGGCTCAAGGGAGAGAAACAGGGGTAAGAACCCCCGAGGGGTGGGACTCCCCAATGTCACCTCCCGTATTCCTTCTCTCTTGGGAAGAAAAAGATTGAGGGGGAACTTAGGGGGCCTCAGGTGGTGAAGGTAGATACCACGTTAGCTTCAGCTGACTACCGCCTAGTAATAAGGTGTAGTAGTCTCCCGCGTTGATTGATTATAATCGCAGGAAAATATGTTGATTCCAATTAGCCGCTGAGCAATAAGCTAATTAAGGGTGACAATTGAGTAGAGCGATTGACACCCTCTAACTCTCGAAATCGTGCTTTCGAATTTGGTGAGTGTTGTGGTACGCGCATGCTACGAAATACGCCAAACTCATTTGCGTTTTTCGCAGGTTTTAACACCATTGTGGACGTAGCCAGTGGCTACGCTGCTTGGACAAAAAATGGACTCCCCACATACCTGTGAATGCGATCGCATCTTCTTAGAGATGAGGCGTGATGGCAATTGGACTTTGCCATAGAAGAAGCAGAATAGGCCCTGCATACGTAACAACCCAATCCGACGAGGGCAAGGAGCGGTCATCAGGGCTAAAGGGCCTAGATAAAAAGCGGCTCCTAGCAGGCTTCTAGGATAGCGAAGGAGGCAGTAATAAACCAAACTGTATACCATATAGGGGATTAGCGATTCTGAAATATATATGTCAAAACTGGAATTAACGCGCCTTTTGACGTAATGGCAATGTAACTCCACAGTTAAGCGTGCTTATGTGAGAGCACTTCTAGAATGGATGACCTTATGGGAAGGTGCCTACTTGTACACCAAAGAATAAAACCGTGAGGCTCGTATAGGACGGACCAAAGCGGACAATACATCAGTGAGTTAATCTAGGGATATATCCGACAAAAAAAAAATCTAAGGATATCACAATATGGTATCGGAGCAGGACCCCTTCTAGTAGGTGTATGGTTTGGGGACGAACCACACGGAAGCTAGTGGGCCTGTAACGACCCGGTCCGACGAGGGCAGGGTTGGTCTCTAGGGCCAAAAGGCTTAGACAAGAAATGGCTCCTGACAGGCTTCTAGGATAGTGAAGGGGGTAGAAATGAACCGAATTATACACCGAACTATACACCGAATAAGAGGAGAGCGATTATGGAATATATATGAAAATTGGAATTAACTCACAGAGGTACCTTTTGACGTAATAGCAATGCTTAGCTTTTAAGTGCGCTCAGGTGGGAGCAATCCTAAGATAGGTGACCTCATGGAAGGTGCCTACCTATACGCCAAAGGACAAAATCGTGAGGCTCGGTATGAGACGGGCCAAAGCAGATAATACCTCAATAAGTTAATCTAGGAATGTCACAACATCAGCTTAGATCCCACTGGTGGAGAGTATCCTCCGATGCATTTCACATGTCGGTTGATTTTGCAAAGAAAGGGCATATGCTACATCCTCGGAAACATCAGTGTGTTATATCCCGTTGAAAACTAGGGATCTCAGTCGAAAATAACAATTTTATCTTCTTCTTTTTTATTTTCTTTGTCTTTCTCTGCTTGTTCGCTTCCTAACCCCTCTACTGTAGGACTGCAGGGTATCAAGTTTATGAACAAAACACATCATCACTTGGTCTCTCAAAAGTCAAGAAACTGAAAAGAGTCGGCCTTCTCAAAAAAACACAGCTGAAATGTCTTCCTCATTGTTGTCTTCTCGGGAGAAGAACACTAGAAGTGCCAAAACTTGTGTACGGCGCTCACTTTAGTGCCAAAAGTTTTCACCGGCTCACTTAAGTGCCAAATTGGAGGAAAAACAATCATTTAAGTGCCAACGGTAAGAAATTCCGGCCAAATTAATATGTGGCTTTTATAATTAAAATTTTAATATTAGTTGGATTTTTTTATTAAAAAAATAAGTCTATTTGGCATTTTTATGTGTACATTTAGATTTTTTAAATATTTTTTTCTGATTTTTTTTCCTTCTTTTCTTTTTTTCTTCTCTTTCTTCTTCTTCTATCTCTGATCACCGACGGTGACTGGAGGCCGGCCACCGGCCACTGCTAGCCGCCTGGCCTCGCCCGGACGAGGCCGCCGTCGCCCGCCACAAGCGAGGCCCAGCCGACCCTCGCCTGGGCGAGGGCAGGCGAGCCCCGGCGAGGCTCGACCTCACCTCGCCAGATTCGGAGAGGCCGACCGTCGCCGTCACCTCGCGGGGCGTCGCCTTCCCCTGAGCAACAACCGGCCTCGCCGGATCTGGCGAGGGTCGATCTCGCCTCGCCGGAGCTTGCCCTCGCCCAAGCGAGGCGAGGCCAACCCTCGTCAGATCCGACGAGGCCGGCCGTCGCCGTGGCCACGGCGGCCTCATGGGGCGTCGCCTTCCCCGGGCGACGATTGGCCTCGCCGTGGCGACCTCATGGGGCGTCGCCTTCCCCGGCGACGGTTGGCTTCACGGATCTGGGTGAGGGACGGCTCGCCTCGCCCGGGCTTGCCTCGCCAAGCCTCCACGAGGTAAGCCGTCATCGTGGCCACATCGACCTCGCGGGCGTCGCCTTCCTCGGGCGACGCCCAACCTCGCCGAATCTAGCGAGGGTCGGCCTTGCCTCGCCGGGGCTCACATTCGCCAGATCCGACGAGGCCGAGCGTCACCCGAGGGAAGGCGACACCCCACGAGGTCGCCATGGCCACAGCGACGGCGGGCCTCGCAAGGGCTCGCCCGCCTTCGCCCAGGCGAGGGTCAGCTAGGCCTCGCCTGTGGCGGGCGACGGTGGCCTTATCTGGTCGAGGCCAGGCGGCTGGCTGTGGCCGGAGGTAGAAGAAGAAGAAAGAGAAGAAAAAAAGAAAAGAAGGTAAAAAAAATCAGAAAAAATATTTAAAAAATTCAAATGTACATGCTAAACTACGTCGTTTTGATGTGTACATGCTAACTAAACCTCCGACAAGCCACATCAGCTTCAGAAATTAATAAAAAAAAATGCCACATCGGATTTCTGGTCAAACTGACCGGAGTTGGAAATTAAGTAATCGTTTTTAAAAAATTTTGGCACCGAAGTGATCCAAAACAAACTTTTAGCACTAAAGTGAGCGCCGTACACAAGTTTTGTCACTTCTGCTATTCTTCTCCCCTGTCTTCTCGCAATAAGAGGAACTTGTTTCTTTCTTAGGCTATCGGCATGATGCTTGTCTCGGCTTTGGTGGGCAACCTGCCTCCCATCTTTATATTCGAATACTCGACGTTTGACGTGGGGGCTAACGATTACATACCTTCCAAGGCCAGAGCCGACTTCCCTTATAACGGGATCGATTTCCCCAACTCCCTAGCGACGAGGAGATTCAGTAATGGATATAACTGTATCGACGAAATAGGTAAACAATAATTTCCCAACTCCATCATAATCCGTTTTGTTTGGTTGTCCCATTCATTCCACTAGGAATCCTTTTCCATATGAATTTAATCATGCAATCGTCCCCAATTCATAATTGTGAATTCATATTTCTAGTGAAGCAGTTGGGTAACAAGCAAAGTCCACCACCTTTTCTGGCTCTTCTCCAAGACCCATCAACCTTCCAAAGCAATCTACTTGAAGGTGTTAAGTTTGCCTCAGGCGGCGCTGGAATTCTCGATGCAACAGGAATTCAAACCTAGGGAAAAGTGCCAAAAAAAGTCCTAAACTTTTTGTATTGATGCCAATTTAGTCCTAAACATTTTTTTTGTATCAATTCAGTCCTAAACCTTTTGCATTAGTGTCAATTTAGTGCTAAACCTTTTTTTTATGCCAATTCAGTCCTAAACTTTTTGTATTTGTGCCAATTCAGTCATAAACATTTTTGTCTTTGTGCCAATTCAGTCCTTCCAGCCAATTTTGATTGGATTTTGCTAACATGGATGCCGGCCGGTCGCTGGCCGGTCACCGGCTCTGACGTGGACAACTTTTAATAATATTTTAATATTTTTTTGAATTTTTATTTATTCTTTTATTCTTTTCTTTTTCTTTTTTTTTTCCCTCCCTCCTTCCTCCGGCCAGTCACCCAGTGACGGCGAAGGTGTGCCTCGCCCAGCAGCCGGCGAGGCTCGACCTCGCCAGATCCGATGAGATCGGGCCTCGCCCAGCCGCCGACAAGGCTCGAGCCTTCGCCGGAGGGCGCGACGAAGGCCTCTGGCGAGGGCTCGAGCCTCACCGGTCGCTGGGCGAGGCACTACTTCGCCAGATCTGGTGAGGTCCAGCCTCGCCCAGCCATATCGAGGCTCGCCTTCAACATCGCTGCCTAGGGCGAGCCTCGCCAGGGGCCGGCGAGGCACAACCTTGCCAGATCCGATGAGGTCCAGCCTCGCCCAGCCATGGCGAGGCTCTCCTTTGCCGTCGCTGGTGAGGGCAAGCCTTGCCAGTGGTCAGCGAGGACCTCGCTAGCCTCTGGCCGGTTGCCGGTTCGGTGACCGGCTGGAGGAAGGAGGGGGGGAGGGGAAAAAAAATAAAATATATAAATAAAAATTCAAAAAAATATTAAAATATTATTAAAAATTATCCACGTCAGCGCTGGTGATCGGCGACCAGCGTCCACGTCAGTAAAATCCAGCCAAAATTGGCCGGAAGGACTGAATTGGCACAAAGACAAAAAGGTTTAGGACTAAATTGGCACAAATATAAAAGGTTTATGACTGAATTTGCACCAATGCAAAGATTTAGGACTGAATTAGCACTCAAAAAATGTTTAGGACTAAATTAGTACAAATGCAAAAGGTTTAGGACTTTTTTGGCACTTTTCCCTTCAAACCTATGTAAATTCATGTTGATTTCTTTTACTCCAATTTTTAAAGCTCTTCCATGCCCTTCAATTTCTTCCCCATGTAAGCAGCATAATCAAGCCGGGTCGAGCCGCATGGTTCACTACTAGAGAGCTCGACTTGTCTGAAATGTCCGACATCCATTTCCCCCTAGAAGCAAGATCAAGCTTGAAGTTTTATAACCGGAGCTGGACTGAATAAAGAGGTCCACGTACTCGAAGCTGCGCGTAATGTGTGTTCCGCAATTCAAAATATTAGTTTCGATCGATTAAAGCCGAGCTCGAGTCGCTAAATCACAGATTCATGTTACTCAATCATCATACTCGAGCGAGCCGAGACTGAGTCAAGCATTAACAGGGAGCTTTCTTGTACTTAGATAAATCCCAGTACGAGTAGTCAGAGGATTAAACTATGAATCTTCCTAACGTACAGGGTAACGTCATAACGATGGCACAACAAGTGCAACAATTTACGGTGGTTCAGGGCATCATCTCACATCTACTGGGTCAAAATACGAGTGCTGAGTTCTTTGCCAAATCGCTCTCCTTCATCAGCGTCGGAAGCAGTGACATCTTCGATCACTACCGTTACAGCGAGACCACCTTGTCCCATCCAGAGCTGATGACCGCCATTCAGTCTAACTACAGAGCCCAACTGACGGTAGATGTCGACTCGATACCGTTACTGTTGGCATCGGGCCGATTTCTCCTCGTCTGAGAAAAGCCTAGACCGACCTTCCTGTGGATCTTGAAACTTAAATTTCGCGTCATTTGCATAAAGAATGACTCTGAGTTGCCCGGAAAGAAAAAATGTTGAGAATCATTTAGAGAGTTACTAAGCAGGAGCTAGTCATTTAATTTTGTTCGATTGCATATGTAAACGTGGTTTTGATCTTTCTCTGACGACTTTGCATTGTCACGGAATGGGAATGCCAGGCTTTGTACGACTTGGGAGCTCGGAAATTCGGGATCGTGAGTCGTCCCCCCGACCGGGTACTGCCCGTTCGCGTGGCTCCAGAACTTGACGGCAAGCGGGTCGGGCTGTTTGAGGAGCTGAATGATTATGCTCAGTCCTTCTATTTGATGATCTCGGCTTTATGACAAAATCTGAGCTCACAGCTCCAGGGCATGATATACTCGCTTGGAATCGCAGCTAATACTTGTTCTGGGAATCGCAGCTAATACTTGTCCATCTATTCGATGATTGTGCCCGAATCGCAGCTAATACTTGTTCTGGGACATGTTCCACCCGACCCAGTACGCGGCCCAGAAAGCCGCCGTCACTCTGCTCACCGGGGACCCGAGTTTCGCAGCACCAATGAACTTCAGCCAGTTGGCCCGGGCCAGCGCATGAGATCAACATAGGCGATGCTATCGCGTTCTCTCCTCGTTCCGAAACAGTTAACTTATCCGAGCATTGTTATTTTGGCTGGCAAAAAGAAACACCCCCTCTCCAGCCCGTCACCGGGGAACGAACCCGGCCGAATCCCGGGATCGGATGAGCTGCTGCACACAACGATTACTAAAGCATCGTCCTCGTGGACACACACACAAGTAAATTCACAGTCCCTCTCTCAAGATGATCATAGATATTTTAGCGACTAATCCTCGCCGGTCCCATGCAAAACGAGACTGGCAAACCTCTGATCAGGGATCAGATTATGCCAAAGGGTTTAGCGTTACAGATCACGATCGACAGCAATCGATACGATTATGCAGAACACACGTCCGGTTTCATATCCACAGGAAACGTGATAAGCCAAAGACTTCTGAGAGTGTCTGACTCAGGACAGCCGTGGCCGTGGCCGTGGCGACTTTCACTGTCGAATCTTATCCACTGCCCGAGTTGGAGCAATCCACGTGGGTGGCTTAGAAAAGGCACTTCGTTATCATCCGATTTCATTCTAACCGGGGGTCAATCATTTTTTTTATTAACCACGCTAAAATAATTTATATTTGGCTCGATAATGACTCGCAATCGACCCCGCCTGATTTGAATCGAGCTCGAACTCGAGTCACACGAATATCTTGTTGAGTCGAGCCCGAGCTCATGAGTACTCGGTGCGATGGGCTCGCGAGCTAATCAGGCCAGATGGAACTTCTTTTCTTTTTAGCCATGAAAATATTCGATTGCTAGTCTTACTGCACAATATGTCCACATATCAGAAATTCAAGAAAGATATCTGAGCTTGTTAAGCTTGAGCTCTTCTTCATTTGGATCGAGATGAGATGGGCTCGAGTACCTCAACCCTTAGCTCATAGGAGAGGGAATATCTTCACATGGCTCTGTCTTGGCAAAATTACTAAAAAAGTTATTGCATTTGTGTCAATTTAGTCGTACGCCTTTTAATTGCGCAAACTGAGTTCTAAACTTTTTGACGATTTGCCAAAATTTTTTAAAAATTTTCAGAAAATGTTAATAATTTTTTTCTTTTTTCTTTTCTTTTTCTTTTTTTTTATTTTTCCTCCTTACTCCACCGGTTGCCGGGCCTTGGTGATGGCCGGCGACCGCCCTCAAGTGAGGTTGAACCTCGCCGGCTTCGGGCGAGGCTCAAACTCGTCGGGATCTGCAAGCTCGACCTTGCCGGGAGCCTCGCCCAAGGCCGGCGAGGCTCAAGCTCGAGCTCGACCTGGCCAGAAGACTTGCCAGCCTCAGGTGAGGCTCAACTTCGCCAGATCCAGTCGAGGTTGAGCTCACCCGAGGCTACCAAGGCTCAAGCTCACCCTAGGCCGGCGAGGTCGACCTTCGCCCAAGACTAGCGAGGTTTGAGCTTTTCGGGATCTGACAAGGAGGAGCTTCGCTGGTCCCGGGTGAGCTCGACCTCATTAAGATCTAGTGAGCTCGAGCCTCGCTCGAAGCCAGTGAGGTTGGCCCTCACCTAAGGCCAGTCACCGAGGCTCAGCAACTGGTAGAGGAAGAAGGAAAAAGAAAGAAAAAAAGAAAAGAAAGAATAAAATAAAAAATTCAAAATTTGTTTAGAAAATTATCCACATAAGAGTCAATCGTGTCATGTAAGACAGTCGACGTTTACGTCAATAATTTCCGAACTAAATTGATAAATTATCAAAAAATTTAGGACTTAATTAGTATAATTAAAAGGTTCAGAAATAAATTGGCACAAATGAAATAAGTTTATGGCTTTTACGGTAATTATCCCGCTCTGTCTTTGACACGAGGTTGCTGCAAGAAATTTTCTCTGCCCATGCCACCATGTCACCGTGTCTATCCACAGAACTCTCTCTCACAGCACAGAGACACCATAAATACATATCCACCTTCACTACACACCTCGCCGAACGCAACTCGCACAAGACCCCAAAGGGACGATAAAGTTGGAAACGTAGTCCAAGAAACATCAAGATGAAAGCGACCCCATTTGCTCCTTCTCCTTCTTGTTTCACCGCCACCACCTCGTTCTCTCCGTTGATTTTCCGGGAATATCTCGCCCAAAGGTCCTTCGTTTTGTCGTCTGATCAATTCCCTTACAAGCCTCTCTTCATGTCCGGATATATATGCTCATGCTGTTCTAGTTTTGGTGTTTCTGCTTTGCTTGCAGATGTCCTGCAGTGCCGGTTTCGATCACGAGTCGGCAGAGTCGGATGGATGGCTTCAATCCCAGGAGTTCAAACACCGCTTGGTAAGCCACCACGAGAATAGAATCGATTTTGATATTAAAACTCTTTATGGTATTTGAAGTATATACTGTTTTAATCCTGCTCTCTTGAGCTGATTCTATTCGTAGCTTGAGATTTTCTGCGTGATGTTTATTCATTCTTGTGCCTGGCGTGATAGTTTTGGGTTCTCGGGTTTTCCGTCATTCTATCGGTCCGCACGCGCGTGAACCCTCGGCTATGCAAATTATTACAATGGCTGTTTATCTTGTATCTATTTATTTGGTTAATGTGTGATTTCGCATCTGTTAAGAGTGAGCCTTTTAGATTAAGATTGATTGATCATGCGTGCACAAGTGAATTGGTTATACTGTTAATCATCTTGTCGAATTTCATTGATTTAGTCCCAAGGCAACCTTGCGAAGTGACTTGGACGCAGCTGGAATTCCGGCTTCGGTGCCGGTGCGGGTAGCGCACGAGCTCCTTCTAGCCGGACACCGTTATTTAGATGTCAGGTGTGTGCGTATGACAAAATCTTCTTTAGTCATATATTAAGCTTTAAATCACCAAAGAAACCTACAAAAATTTTGTACTGTTTGATAAAAATATGTTAGTCATACAAGGTTTTTAGTTTATTCCGGGGTTGGAATTGTGTACTGCAGGACTCCTGAAGAATTCAGTGCCGGTCATGCATCTGGAGCTATTAACATCCCTTACATGTACAGAGTCGGATCAGGTTTCCAATTTTATTTGCTTCCAAGAAACCGATTTGTTTCATTCGTGTTTGAGACAGTTTCGGTGACCTGCTAGTACTAGTTGATCACGCGGAGTACTTGATTTTTTTCGGTAGTTTTTGTAGGATTACTACTGACCATGGATCTTCATATTCCTGTATTTGAGGATTTCTATCTCTGTTTATCATGTTTTCTGCTTAATCCCGTAGGGATGACAAAGAACGCGAGCTTCATCAAGGAAGTCTTGACAAATTTTAGAAAGGATGATGAAATTATCATCGTATGTCACTGGACTTGATTGTAATTTAAGTTATTCCTGATGACTCCTGGGATTGCGATTCTTGTTTCTTTTGAGCTATGCTATTTTATTTTCTGGACCCTGTTTGAGAGATTCAATGTGTAAATTTTTACAGGGATGCCAGAGTGGGAAACGATCAATGATGGCCGCAAAAGATCTACTAGCTGCAGTAAGCAAAACGTGTCCCTCAAAATGTTTGAGTACGCTTGGAGTGATGTTTAAACGGATTCTGCTATTGCCATGACTAGATTGAAGGAAGAACTAGAGTTCAATGTTGGCAATTCCTAGCATTAGCCGGATCAATCAATGGATACTTCAATGAATTGAATGATAACTGCAAACAAATAAGTTGATTCTAATTAGCTGCTGAGCAAAATGCATATTTGGGGTGAAAATTGGGAACACAGATCGACACCCACTCACTCTAGAGATCGTGCTTTCGATTTTGGAGTGTGTTCTGGTACACGCATTGCGTGAAATATTCTGAGTTTACCCTGAACTCCTTTGTGTTTTGCAGGGTTTTAGCGCTGTGACAGACATAGCCGGTGGCTATGCCACTTGGACACAAAATGGACTCCCCACAAACCTGTGAATGCGCTTGCATCTACTTAAAGATGAGGCGTGAGGGCGATTGGATTTCGCCATTGAAGAAGCAGAGTAGGCTCTGCATCAGCTTAGATCTCATCGATGGCAGAAGATGGCACGCACATCATCAATGTGCTAGAGATATTGATCATTCCAATGTCTGAAGCACACTCATATAAGCATGGGCAATGAACAATGTAACTTGAGTTCCCATTGTACAGGAATAACTCTTGGATTACAAGAGACTCTACATGAATAGTTGGTGCTGTCTTCAACAGAGTCCTTCACAGGGTCTTCATTACAAGAACTCTACAGAATAGTTGGTGTGCTTGTCTTCACAGAGTTCACAGGTTGACATCATATCTCTCTCTCTCTCTCTCTCTCTCTCTCTCTCTCTCTCTCTCTCTCTCTCTCTCTCTCTCTCTCTCTCTCTCTGTATGAGCAGGTAGATTTCAGATAATTAAGCCAGAGTTTGACATGGCATGAGGCATTAGGCTGGTTGGTGCAAGTAATCTTTTTAACACAAATACACTTGCTATCACAATTTTGAGCTTAAGAGAGATCTCACATCCATTTTCCCAAATTACACTAGAAAAAGAAGTATCCTCCTGCTGGATGTCCTTCTTAGGAATCAAATTTACTAAAAGGTTTCAGTAACATCTCAATTTAATAAGATTACAAACATTACATGCTAGAATTCTGGGCGAGCTCATATGATTTTAACCGGAAACACGCAAAAGAATCTCGAGTTGTAACCCTTTTTTGGATGTCAGTTCATTTATGTGACCCTTCATGAATTCTTCCAAATTTAACAAAGAAGTGCAGTTTACTGTACTCTTTCGACAATCATAGGTAAAAAAAAAAGGGTTAATACCATGAAAAACCCCAAATTGGTACATCTGTGATAATTTTACCCAAAACTAATTTTTTAACAACCAAAAACCCTAAACTGGTACACCTGTGACAATTTTACCCTACGTTAGTTTCCGTTAAACTTTACTGTTAAATTGGTTTGTTAAATGACATGTGGTAATTGACGGATTTACCAGTTTTGGATTTTACCCTCCATTTATCACAGGAGTACCACTTTGTGATTTTTTTTTTTTGCATTAATCTAATTTAATTGAAACTAACGAAGGGTAAATTTGTCATAAATGTACCAGTTTAGGGTTTTTTGTGGTTAAAAAATTAGTTTGGGGTAAAATTGCCACAGGTGTATCAGTTTGGGATTTTTTTTTGTCAAAAAATTAGTTTTGAGTAAATTTATCACAGGTGTACCAGTTTGGAATTTTTCGTGGTATTAATCCAAAAAAAACACCAAGATCGTGAGGAAAGCAATAAAGGAAACTTTGGAATCTGGGACCCCGAATAAAAAATAAAGATTTCGAACACCCTTTTCTTGATGTGCAATTGCTTCAAACTCACATAACACATGGCATAGGAAATCATCCGGCCACGTTCTCGGGGTTGGGGAGAGAGTTGCTGTTTGGCAGCTACTGACTGAACCAACTCCTTTCAGACTTCCCACTAAAGCAAAACATGGTGCGCACATCTATCATGCCCCCTCTAACACCAACCTCCTCCTTTGTCACTGCTGTGTTTCTTCTCTCTTCCGGTATTTGTACTTGAAGAACATGAACAGAGGTCCGAGGTTGTAACACAGAGAGAGAGGGAGAGATAGAGAGAGATGGGATTATCGCGGAAGTGGCTCAAGCTAATCCGCAAGAAGTTCCGCGGATCGTCTCGTAGGAACATCCTCATCCGTAGCGATAGCAACCACGGTCCTTTAGAAGAAGCATTAATAGCGGATCGAGTCAGCGACGACTTGCTGGACCAACAAGCCGTCCTACTAGATGAACACATTTCATCAATGTTGATGCCGTTGCTGCGACGTTTCACGGAAGAAGAGCTCGCGGCCATCAAGATCCAATCTTATTTCAGGGGCCATCTTGTATGTTTGACTCTAATTATGTCTGCTTCTTCTTCGATTTGAACTATTCTTCCTCAGCTTTATTCTTACCTATTGCTATGTGATGGTGTTGACTTGGAAATCAACCGGTTATGGAACATAGGCGAGACGGGCATTGAGAGCGCTGAGGAGCCTCGTGAAGCTGCAAGCATTGGCTCGGGGCACGTACGTGAGGAACCAGGCGCAAATAGCGATGCGGTGCATGCACGCGCTCGTGCGGTTGCAGGTCCGGGTTCGTACGCGGCAGCTTCTCGGAGTCTATACTGATGAATGAACAATATGCGAAATCTACTCAGGACATGGGACAATTGCTGTAACAAAGGATCATGCTCCAAAAGATGCTGTCTGACATTGTGAATAACGCAGAGGTTTCGACACTAGTGTTTAGCCGGCCGCCCTGATCCTAACCGAAATCCTGACGTCTATTTACGCATTCGTTTTGAAAGGCACGACGCCGAGCAACTTTTTTTTTTTTCTGAAATAGTCATTTGATCATGTTGATGTTCATGTTCAGTGATTCTGATTCCTGATCAACATTTTGTTCCCAAGAACGGATAGCTTGTTCACAGAAGAGACTCTTCTTTCTGAATAGTTGTTTGATCGTGCTGATGCTCATTTTCAGTAATTCTGATTCCTGACCAACATTATCCCCAGGATGGATCGCTTCTTAACAGGAGACTAAAGATTGTTCGTCAGCATGTGCTAAAGTCTTCTCGAATCCGCAGATTTGGCCTAGATATGCCAGTAGGATAGTATGACAGCGGAGTCGAGTCGACGCCACTTCGGCTAATAGCTTTAGATCAGTTAGTAACTTTACACGCGAATACTCAACTCGAGCTAGCTAGATAGAGATTGAGCTTGATCACGCCTTGCATATCATGTTTAAACTGGACAAAGTTTTGTTGAGTGCATAATACTCTTCATACTCCTAGACGTATAGACTTGAAAGACCCAAAAAAGAACACTAGCTCACCTTTGTTTTGCACGTGACTCGTGTCAAGTACTAACTAGGCGAACTAGAAGTAGGAATAAATAGATGACAGCAGATCAGTCAAGCTTGAGCGGTACAACCGCATATGGTTTGAGTGACTTCGCTCATAGCAACCTAGCGGCCGACCTAATCATGCCGCCACCGCCGATCGTTAGGAGGAAATAGAAATTAGACCATCGGAAGATTTATTTACGTTAAAATGAAAAACAATTAGAAAAAAGACGTGTCAAGATGCTTGGTATGTAAATGACGTTGATTCTTGTTTACATTGGCGGCGAACCTTGTGGCGGCGGTAGCAGCGAAGTTGGGATAGCCATACCGGCACAATTTTGAGATGGCAGGCCCAAAGGTCAACCTTGGAAAAATATTGCACGGTCTGTCGACCATGCGGGCTAATATCATCTCAGCAATTAATCACATGAGTACCATCACCGGGCTCGTATGATCAACGGGGGAGAAGGACTTCGACTTCTAAAGAAAAGAAAACCTATCGGTAACAAAAGTTTGCCCGGAATGACATTTGAAAATCGCTCATGAGTTGTGACTTTCCCATCAACACGAAAAAATCACTTCAAATGCTTAATAACTGAGAGATTACACGCTTAATACAAAATAAACGGGAAATCTCAAACACCATAACGCCAAAAAGCAACCGATAATAAGATTCAGATTGAGTTAAAGAAGCTAACAACATTTTATAATCAGAACAACGTCGTTCATCAATAATCATACATCAGGAAATTTACAAAACGACCGCGGAGGAATCAGGAGAAGAATACAAACGGCAGAATGAGAAAAACATAAGCAAATGGATATTTTGTACCTTCTAGAAGGGAAACATAAACACTGTCCCTAAACTTACAGAGTTTTGCACTTTAGCTACTAGAGTTTGAAGTTCCACATTCTAAACGTTGAATGGAGGTCTTCGTTTGCTCGACAGTCCCTGAAGTATTCGATCGATTTAAATTAGTCCTCAAGCCCCCATTTTAGACAAATATGGGCCGCGTTAGCGAAATTCCTCGACTAAAAAAGTGGCAAGGAATTTTCCTAAGATTTTCTTTGACTATACACCTTGTATGTGTATCACAAGCAAGAAACATGCCCAACATTCGCCTAAAATAAGCCTGGAGGACCAAAATGCGTCGGAATAAATTCTAATTCTAGGGCTAAAATACAAGACAAGATAAGTTTTGAGGACAAAAGGAGCTATTTTCCATTTCCTTCCTTTTTTTGGGGGTAAAAAAGAAAATAGCAATAACTTAAGCTCCAAAAGAAGAGGCAACAATCGACACAACTTCGGTTAATCACCCAGGCAAATTCTGTACAGAATGCAAATACCCTGATGTCACCAGCATCGCGCTATACGATTAGATGGTAGAATATGTACAGACTCCTTCCTTTCAACCTCAGTGATGGCTCCTTTTGAATGCCGAAAAGAATCCACCCGATGATTTGTCCTTGTGCTTATCTTCCCCTTCCTCTTCAACCTGAATCAAATGATGCATATCATTAATTTATTTGCTAGGAACGAAGAATTACTTACAAGCAATAGGTTACCTCCTTTGCTATCTGCTGAAGGATCTCCAAGATGTCCGAGAAGTTGGGCCTTCTCTTGGGGTCTCGCTCCCAGCATCTTTGAAGTAGTTCCACAAGCAATGGGTTAGTGCCTTTCGGAATGGAAGGACGGAGACCCTAGAAATATGTCCATGCAAGACAAATTGTCATTTCTAAAAATCAACTGAACAGCTGAAATATGAAGCATAAAAAACCAAAAGTGATGATTCCAACCTTCTGTACTACTCCAATAGCTGCTTGCAGAGGGGTTAAGTTGGCGTAAGGAAGCTGGCATTTCAGTTGCATAAATAAATCACTTTGATGGCATTTATTATACCGCAGGAAGACAACATGAAGAAGAAGAGGGACTTACTTCTCCAGTCAGAAGCTCCCACAATACTATGCCAAAGCTAAAAATATCTGCTTTGTTGTCATACTGTCTGTGTTCAATTACCTACGTTTAGCAAAGCCAACATAAGTAAAGACCATTTACAGCAATCGTGGAAAAACGAGTAGTACTTAACCAATAGAAAAATTGCGATGAATTGTAGCTGGTCCAACTGATAAAAAAAGGACTCAGAAGATATCTTTAGCATGCCCCATCCATGGTAACTATAATCTATGGATTTGTGGAACAATATTTCATGACAGACAGTAGCTGAAGAAAAAACTGAACCCCAGAATCCCCCAAAAACGAAATGGAAAACCCCCCAATATGGTAAGCATGTATAAGCCCACAATCAACTAGAAGCTCCACGACAACCAACTCGAATAGATTATAAGAGTAAGTTGAGCAGCATAGGAAACTGAATGCAACAATTGGTACTTTGGAGGGCTTCAATAAGATAGAGCAGCTACAGCATCTGTAGCAAAAAGGCTAGATGTTCAGAAACAACAAACACTCTTATTTGCTTGCATCCACGATACACCAAGATGGTCAGATTAGGCGATGCAGAAGATCACAGCAGGTACATATAACATTATATTATCCCTGATCAGCACAGCCTTACAGATAATAATATTGGCATTGATCTTCAGACAGAGACGCACCTCTGGGGCCATCCAACGGTATGTTCCTGTTTCAGCCGTCATTACTCCAGTTTCAGCCTGCACCCTGGCAACCCCAAAATCTGCCACTTTAACCACCTGTCAGAAATAGGAGAGAGTCCTTAGAGCAGCAAGTTTTAATCTCTCATCTCTCTTTGGGAAGTAGATCATCACAATATAGTTATATCATCATGATCCAAGACTACTAATGCTTAGCCAAACATGAACTTTGTGCAATATTATCTTAACCCAAAAGAAGTGCTCTGTTTCCTTGTTCTCCTGAACCTGATAAGCTACCCAGACAGTAGTACTTGCTCCACCTTCTCTTACATTCGACAGCCACTTATTTAGCATGGTTTCATCTGAAATTTGCTATATCTATTCCTGTCTATTGTTGAAAGGATCAACACTTGAACCAGCATTACAACTTTTTCTTTTCTTTCTTTCATATTTCCATGAACCTACAGCAACGGGAAAACTAATATCATGATGAAAATGTAACAGCTTCTCCATGCTGATTCAATACTTATAATGAATGATAAACATTATGCATCAGAGAAGGAAATTCTTAATTTAGTTCTTCAAAAGCGTCAAACACTTGTTTCTCTCTTCTGATTGATCACTCACGATAAGCACTGGAGTGTAAATTTCTAAGCAGATAATTACCTCATTTTCATCCATCAGAAGATTGGCAGTCTTCAAATCCCGGTGAATTATATTGTTCTGGTGCAAATAGTTCATCCCCTTGGAGACATCAATAGCCACTTTTAGTAGAGAAGGAAGCTTAACCGCACCTCTTTGTTTATGTAGAACGTCGTATATGCTTCCTTTGGACATGAATTCTGATACAGCAATGCAAAACCAAAAATTTGAAAGAAAAAAAAACAACAAAACTGTCAGCTAAATTAAAAGGATTAAAACTCCATCTTCCAGTACCCAAATTGCAACAAACTTCCAAAAAGAAAGATAAATGTCCATCACAGAAGCACCTTTCAGTTTATGGATATTTACAAGAACATTAAATAACCTTATAAACCAGGAAAACATCCTCAATAGTATCTTCTTTGAATCCAGAAATAGTCTCCGTGACAATTTTATCCTATCATGCAACATCACATATACCTAGAGTCTGATACGGATCAAAATTCTATCCTAATATTGAAAACATCACATCTACACACTTAGAAAACACTCAGAAGACTAACCCGTCACAATGCATAGGTTTGGTGGGTGGGTACATGCACCTATAAATTGCACAACATTCTTGTGTCGGATTTTCCTGGAAAACATTAAAACACCAAACATGAATTTCAGGAATATGTTGGCTTGGGGTAGTCAGAATATAATAATGGTAGTTTCAAATAAAGGGACAATTTCCAAAAAAATGGAAGCATTCATGCATACTTAAAAAGAAAGCTACAGAGGCGACCTTTATAATGCAGAATTGTTTAGCAAATTCACACAAGATTCCTGGGTAAGGACAGGTAACAGAAAGCTGCTGGAGTTTGTACTAAATCAAGCATAATCTTAGGGTGGATCATTTTAAAGTTTGAGTATAGGCATTATAATTTCTGTAAGAAAGTGTAAAATTAAAATAAGGACCTCTCAACAACCTTTTTCCTCGTTAGTTTGACAGTACTAGTGAGATTAATATATTTTTCAAAGCATGCAACTGAGAGATGACTTCCAGATTTCTAGCTTTCCTCGTAGCACCAAGGAGTTAATATTGTCTACTTGCTGTTTGAGGAAAGGTTTTGTGAATCATTAACAAGCAGGTGAATTACAAATATTTCTCCGGGAAGTAACATACGAGGTATGCTATTCCTCAGAGCCAGGCGACATGTTGATGAAGTCAACTCAAAATGCTCCATTTCAAGCAGCCGGCTGACTTCAGAAGTATGTTGATTCAACATCAAAAGACAATACTAGTTTAACAAGAAATATATCAAAACAAACCTCATTATATAAATTTCCTGAGC